ACGGGAAAACGGAGGCGGCCCTGAGGAAAGGCACTGGCCAAGGCACGAGACTGGTTGGCGGCAGAACCAGGGCAGGGCCCGGGTGTTCTGATGCCTGACGCAGTGCTTTTCTGGCTGAGGCATAACGTAGGGACTGTTCTGGGGAGGCGGGTCCCTGGAATGGCTTTCTCCAGTTGAGAAGATATTTTCCTCCTGATTTCAAAACAGTTCTTGGTCATCACAGTGTCAAAAGTTCCATATTCCTTCTTCTACTTTCCTCCATCCCTGGATAACATCACTTTGAACAATGTGGTGTATACAGTGCTGAACTAGAGCGCTGCTTCGTGCTTGGGGCCAAGGGGCCGTAAAAACATCACCGGACACCCTCCCACAGACGCGGGCTTAGCCGCGCAGTGTCTGTGCTGCTGCTGCAGCAACGTCCGCAAGTGTGGGCAAGAATGGTCTTTTGTCCTGATTTGCCCACACTTGATTTTTCAAAATTACAGTTTACATTTTATGTTAGTTTCAGGTGGATAGCCCAGTGGTTAGACAATTTGTAATTTACAAAGTGCTTCCTCCTGATATTTCCAGTACCCGCTTGGCACCACACACAGCCATTACAGAGTCCCTGAATGTCCCCTCTGCTGGGCTTTACATCCCTGGGACGGCTCTGTCGCCGCCCCTAGCTGCACTTCTCCCTCCCTCCACTTTCTCCACCCATCCTGCCACCCTAGTTTGTTCTCTGTATCTGTGAGTCTGTTTCTGTTTTGTTTGTGCGCTTATTTTGTTCATTCATTTAGTTTGTTCTTTAGATTCCATACATGAGTGTAATCCCATGGTATTTATCTTTCTCTGACTTATTTCACATAGCATACAACCCTCTAGGTCTATCCATGTTGCAAGTGGTAAGATTTCATTCTTTTTATGACTGAGTAGTAATCCATTCTATATATGGACCACATCCTTCTCCACTGGTCTGTTGGTGGGAAGTTGGGTTGATTCCATATCTTGGCTATTGTAAATAATGTTGCAATCAACATAGGAGCTGATTTGCAACTCTAATATTAAGAAAATCTCAGAATAAAATCTGAATCACATTCAGGGATTTTTGACAATGTAAGGCATGGACTGTTAAAGAGCTCCATCTACAGACAGGTTCAGGTGTGGACCATGGCTCTGCCCTTGACTAGCTGCATAAACTCAGGCAAGTTACTTAGCTTCTTTGTGCCTCAGTTTCTGAATCCATACAGTGGGCATAAATATGTACCTACCTCCTTAGTACTGTGTACCTGGCACATGGTGAGCAATTGATAAATTGTAGCTGGAGGTTAATAGCATTGTAACTGGCCCTCCTAAACTGAAAGAAGTGAGATTAAGGTACTCCCATGTTTCCTATAGGAACTGCTGGTTTTGAGCAGGCAGACATTAACGATGGTCTTGTACTTGGGGGTGTGTCCCTCTGAGTATACTTCATACTACAGTGAGGCTGCACTCTACCAGAAAGTCAGGACAAAGGTCGTTCGAGGAGGAGAGACGGCCTAAGGCGGGAATCTGGGTGTTAGTCCTGAATTTACTGCCAGCTCTGTGTGCGACACTGACCGCTTAGCTTCCCATTCAGAGCCTCCATTCCTCACAGTGACCTGGGGGAATTGGATCGGTCCGCCATTTCCAATCTCAGCTCCACCTCGGAACCCTGCTAATCTTTTTCTTCCACAGATCCCATCTTTTAAGAGGTTTCTGCCCTGACTGGGGTGACTCAGTTGGTTGGGCATTGTTCTGCAGACCAAAAGGTGGCCAGTTCAATTCCTGATCAGGACACATGCCTGGGTTAAGGGCCAGGTTCCCTAGTTGGGGGTGTGTGAGAGGCAACTAATCCATGTATCTCTCATGCATTGATATTTCCCTCTCTTTCTCCCGCTCTTTCTAGAAATTAATAAATAAATAAATAAAATAAATAAATAAACGGTTTCTATTAAATAGAAGTGGATTTACTCATATTTTTCATCAAAATGGAAAACTGCTGATCAGATTGAGAAAAACTTAAGGTAATTAACCACCAAAAGAGACATGATTTCAGCCAAAAGGGAAAAACGTTATTTTTGTCTTAGGGCAAATTTACAGCTTTGAGGGTTTAAAAAAATACCCTGAAAGACAAGGCCGCCCTGTAGTGCATGCACAGAGCCCGAGGCTTCGCAATCTCTGGATTTAATAATGTCTGGACTTGCTTCCATCTCTGAAATCCTCTGTGTGTTTTGGAATAATGCCACTGTTCTCAGTGAATATGGTGTGTTGCATACAACACAGGGCTGGTCTTGCTGATGTTTGATGCCAGCCTGCTGGGCAGATATGCATCCCCTCACTGCACCCTTGCTGGGGGGGGGGCGGGGCGGGGTTGGTCTGCTTCCAGTGTGCAGGCCCGTGCCGGTGGGGAAAGTGGACGGGCACACTCAGGGGAAGGGTGCCCCCTGCGCCCAGAGAGTTCTGAGAACGGTCCCTGGAGGCTGGGGCACTTGTATTGGATCCTGAAGACCAAGGGCGTGCTGGGTCTTTGCAGCCCTGGCCTGGCGGGACTCTGGGGTCCTTCCAGAGCCACGCACAGCGGGGACGTTGTCCCTCAGCCCCCGCGGAGCAGAGAGCAGAGGCAAGGTCTCCTGCTCTTCCAGGAAAACACGGAGGCAGTCGAACTGGAACCTGCCCAGGCCTCACCCGGTTCTTGCCACCTGTGCGTCGTGAACCCTTCAAAGGGCTTCGAAAGTACAACCACGTCCTGTGGAATTCTAAGTCAACGAAGACTTTTTCATTATTAAAAAAAAAAACTCCGTCTACATTTAAATTTTCTTGTCTTTTTAGAGTTGACTTGTTCAAAAGTCTAAGCCAGGCACAGTGCCTCGGTTCCCGCTGTGCAGTGGTTGCTCGGTCCCTCTCTGGCTTCCGTCACCCCACACAGCCTCCCTCGCCGCACCCTACGTGTTTTCCACGGCTCGGGCTTGTCAGAGAAACAGGGGTCGTGGGGCCCCTGGAATGTCCCTCTGTTCCTGTGCTGGTGTCCAACTATTCCTGTGTGTCCCTGGGCACTGGCTCTGCCTGGGCCTCAGAAAAGGGAGGGTCGCCTGCCCCCGGGTGGGAGGGCGGAACCGCAGGCCCCCTCCACTCTGCCCCCTCCCTTGCGCAGTGCGGGGCTGTACAAGAAATCGGCGAGATGAGATCTTTTCACCACCCCATGAAGGAAGGCGAAAGGGCAGGCTCGGTGGCACCAAAAGCAGGGATGCAAATTAAAACTACGATGAGACACCCGCAGCTCCGGCTGCGAGTGGATGGACAACGCAAAGCATGGGTCAGGGAATGAGCAGCTGGGACGGCCGGGCCCTGGGAACTGGCACAGCCACGCGGTGAAACCAGTCACAGCGACGTAAGCAAATCGTGCACCTGTCTTAGGACCCAGCACACCCACGCGGGGCCTGTCCCCAGTAGAAAGAAGACTTGTACGCAAATATTCATAGTGTTCTTCACAAGAGCCCCAAACTAGAAGCTAATCCAAATGCCCATCAGCGGGCGAGCGGGTCAATAAAATGCTGTCGCTGTGCAGCTTTAAAGGAACAACCGCTGTCACGCACGATGTGGACAGATCTCGGAAACACATGAGTCAGAGAAGCCAGACACGACCAGGCAGGCAAACGCTGCTGCACACTGCCACCTAGGTGAGTTCAAAGGGCCACGAAACTCATCTGTGGTGACGGGGGTCAATCCCAGGGAGGACACAGGAGCCAGGCGGCGGGACTGTTCTTTCCCTTGATGTGGGGGTGGTACTAGGGTGTACGGATAAACATTTGGGGTTTGTTTTAGCATTACTGCATATAGGTTAAACCTTGACTTAAATATATGTATATGTGTATGTATATATACTTATATATATATATAGAGAGAGAGAGAGAGAAATAGGAACATGTACTAGAAATATAAGTTTATGTAACTATACACGTAGGAACTGGGCCGCCCAGGAATGCAGTGGATTTGTGGGAGCCCGACCCCCAGTTCTCTGTCAGTCCTCTCTCCTCCCTGCTCTCCTCTGGCCCCTCCCTGCCATCTTCCCAGACAGCGCGCAGGGACGTGACCGCAGTCCCTGCCTGGCCAGGTCCTGAAGGCGGGCGAGGCAAGAACCTGTGCTCCCTGTGTTTCTGCTCTTTGTCCCTCTGTCCTAATTAGACGCAGGACTAATATTTACCTTGCTTACTACAAACAGGAAATGGGGGAGGGAGGGGAGCAGGGCTGGGCGGGGTCCTAGTGCAGAGCCAGCGGGTGCTCTAGTCTGGCCCAGGGGACAGACAGGCAGGCAGAGAGGGAGGGGCCCCAGGGATGTGGGCTGGCCCCTGTTCCCAGCAGGGCAGCAGGTCCTGGGAGGTGAGAGGAAGTGGAGCAGAGGCCCAAGAGGCCCTGGCCCTGGCCCCACCTTATAGGCAACGGCTATACACAAATGTACCTCCACAGCTTCCCAGATGGGCAAGAGGGGACTGACCCTCCACCGGCGGCCAAGAAGCTGGGGCGGTGCCGGCCTTCCCGCCCCCAGTGTGTCTCTTCTCGCCCTTGTCTCTCTCCTGTGTGCTGCAGCTGCACAGACCGCCCACCGGTTTACATCCACACACCTACTGATTATTAAGCACTTACTTACATTCATAATCTGCTTCAGTCCCCACATCTAAGTACTATTCCCATTGTACAGAGGAGGAAACCGAGGCACACAGATTAAAGCAACCATCAGCATGTGTTAGGATTGGCAAGAGCCCCGAGCAGACCTTGTGACCCCGCTGGCCCAACACGGCCCCTGTCTCAGGGAAGGAGGGGCTGGATGATGGTGGCTACCCTGGTGTTTCCTCTGTGGCTGCCTCCCAGACCACCCATCCCTGATTCCAGGAGAACCTGTGCCCCCTGATGGTGGGTGGACTATCAATTCCCTTGTCCTTATGGCCCTGACCCGCTGACCTCTCAGCTGGTTTCTTCACTCCGGTTTAACATTAACCCAGAGGGTCAGAACGAGCCTGCAGAGTCCCCGGAGCCCACACACTATGGCGTGCGCCCGAGGGCTGTGGCCACCTGGCTGCCTGGCAGTGGTCACCCTGTTTAGCCTTGTGCATAGCCAGCATGGTAAGGGGGTCCCGGAAGCTGGGACAGGCTGGCGGGCTGGGGGAGGGGCCTGGGCTGGGGTCTCTTCTCTCCACGGAGAACCCAGAGCCAGCCTCCAGGGAGGCCTGGGCCCACGGCATCCAGCTGAGAGGGGGAGTCGCGCGCAGGCCTGGGCGGAAGGTGACTGCTTCTCTCTTGCAACATGCAGAGTGGGCTGGGGGTGACCGGTGACAGGAGGGGGCGGGCTTCTTCAGGCCACTGTCCCACGCCCCTCCTGCTGCAGTGTTCCTGGCCCCTCAGCAAGCGCTGTCGCTGCTCCAGCGGGTCCGCCGGGCCAACCGGGGCTTCATGGAGGAGCTGCGTGCGGGGAACCTGGAGCGGGAGTGCCTGGAGGAGCTGTGCAGCCGCGAGGAGGCCTTCGAGGCCCTGGAGTCCGTCACTGCCACGGTGAGCAGGACGTCCCTCCACGCCGGCTCTGGGGCCCCGTGACAGGGGCCGGGAGCACCAGTGCTCTCTGCTGGCAACCTAACCTCGTCTGTCTGTCTCGGGGCCCTGTCGCCCTGGGCTGCCAAGACCGGTGATGCCTCTTCTCCTGGAGGTCCTCACACCTGGTCCCAGGGCCCACGGAGGCTCCAGGACATCAGAGGGGCCTCTCCATTTTCAGACATAGGACTGTTTGGGGATCTCTGGAGCCTCTCAGCTTCAGCTTCTCCGCTAACTCTGTGCCTCCCTCGGGCGTGGGGCTCTGGTGAGGCTGGGAGCCCTTACAGCCTTTCCCTTCCTTGGGGCTCTGCTGGGCCCCCCTCCAGGGACCCGCGCCCCCTCCTGTCTAGTCTACCCACCCAGGGGAATCCCCCGTAGTCTCCCCTGGGGGTGCGGGAGCCCCCCTCTCTGCAAATGCCTTTCTCCCCAGAGGGCTTGGGCTTCCGGAAACAGAAGCAGGGAACTCTCGCACTGACCTCCCAGAGCCCGCCTGTGCGCGCCCAGGGCAAGGGGGACAGGAAGGTATAAGGAGAAGACATGGCATTACTAAGACACAAAACACAGCAGGGGCAGCCACAGCCTCACATTCAGCCCTTGTTTTTCAGGATGTGTTCTGGGCCAAGTACACAGGTGAGCACTGGGAAGGGCCTGTTTCAGTAAGGGAGGGGGTCCCGGGGACACCAGGCAGAGATGCTGTGTGTTAGAGAATCTGGCCCATCACTCGGCCACCCCCACTCGTGCCTCTCTCCTTCCATCCATCCATCCATCCGTCTGTCCATCACTGTGTTTCTGGCTGTTGTCCCACCCTTTACATGAGCCCATCCTGTCCCTACTCTAATCCCAAGGGTATTTCTGGGTCTTTTCCAGCTTGTGAGTCAGTGAAGACATCTCGAGAAAAGCTTGGTGAATGTCTAGAAGGTGAGAAACTGCCGTGGGGTGTGGGCACAGGATACTTGGGGACAGCCTGGAAGAAGGGCCGGGTAGGGGTGGCCCAGTGGTGGCAGCTCCTAGCACCTGACACCGCCTTTCTGTTCCTGCGCTCCACAACGTGTCTTTGCACCCGGCTCTGTGCCTGGCAGCCAATAAGATGGTTCACGCCGGAGGAACAAACGAGTGATGAATTAATGTTTAAGGTCTCACTGCCATCCTGGCTCCTGCCCATGCACGGCTTCCCCTGTCCCCAGGGCAGAGCTCCGATGGTGTCACATGCATCCTCCAAAACCTTGGCTGGTTCCCCTTTGCTTCCACAGTAAAGCAGCAGCTTCTTAGCTCGGCAGACTTTGCAGGTTCTAGCCTTCACTTCCCCTTCTAGCCTCACACTTCCCATCACACCAACCACGCACCCAGACCTCCACCTGAGCTTCCTGAGGTGTGCCCCGGGGGTTCGGCTTCCAGGCCCTTGCTTATGTTGTTATCTTTCCCTGGAACAACCATTACCACCCACTGAAAACCTCCCTCCCCTTCAAAGACTGGTTTAAGGGCCTTGCTGAGCCTTTTGATTACACTGTCAGTGTGACTACTGGCTTCATAACATGGAACTCTTTCATTACTGGCCATGCTTTCATTTGTTAAATAATTTATTCAGCAGACATTTCACTAAGTCCCTGCTGTGTGGCCCACACTAAGTCAGGGGATGGGTTGGAAGAAAATCAGGGAGCCCGCAGTTTCATAGGGAAATGAAAACACTAGACATCAGAGTGGTTGCTGGAAAGGTCCTGAGAATGCCAGAAGGAGGAGCCTGTGCTTTGCCAACAGAATTGGGACGGGCCCCTAGGAGAAGCAGAGTTTTACCTGGATTCGTGGGACGCGCCAATGAACAAATAAGACAGTGTGCCAAGGCAAAGAAAATGGCATGTGCAAAGGCCCTGGGGCATGAGGAGTTAAGGTGACAGGACAGGTAGACCGGGGCGAGATGAGGCCTATTCACTTGTTCATCCCGTTGGCCATGCAAAGCCCCTCAGCATAGCCCCGGGAGGCCAGGGTCCTACCTGGGCCAGGACTGTCCTGTTCATCACTGTGTCCTGGCACAGGCCCGTCAGTGGGTCATCACAGAGTGGGCACTCAGCAGATATTCGGTGACTACTGTTGAGTGGACTAGAGAACTGCCGAGTGCAGAGAAGGGGCAGAGTAAGTTCAGGGTTAAGGGTCATGAGGGAGAGGGAGCTTGGAGTGGATGGACGGACAGAGCTTTGTTAAGAGAAAGGGAGGTCAAATCCACAGGACACGAAAGCTGGACTGGGGTCTCTGCAGGTAACTGTGCGGAAGGTCTGGGTATGAACTACCGAGGGAACCAGAGCGTGACCCGGTCGGGCATCGAGTGCCAGCTGTGGAGGAGTCGTTACCCACATAAGCCTGAGTGAGTGACAGGCAGGCCTGTCTGCCTGCGGGCTGACAATGGCGGAGCAAGGAGACCTGGGTATCAGGGTGCCCGGGCATGGCCTCCCACTGAGCAATCTCCTTCTCCAGAGTCAACGTCACCACCCACCCTGAGGCTGACTTGCGGGAGAATTTCTGCCGCAACCCAGATGGAAGCGCCACTGGGCCCTGGTGCTACACGTCGGACCCCACGGTGCGGAGGGAGGAGTGCAGCATCCCTGTCTGCGGTGAGCGACTGGGCTGTGCAGGGCTGGGGCTCAGGGGTCTCCATGGGGCCTGGCAGCTGGGGACAGGAAACGAGACTGTGTCTGCCTTCGAGGGGGGGGGGGTTAGTCATTTGCCACATATTTGGGCCTGGTGGTCAGAGAAGTTGAGACCAGAGAGAGTTGGCTTGCGGTCTCCTCCCTCCTGCCCACCCAGCTTCACTGCCTTCTGCTCCAGGCTGTGGCTCATGCCAGATACATCTTCCCTGCTGCTGGAGGCACTCCCCCCTCCCATAAACCCTCCCTAACCATGTCAGTCCATGTGCCCTTCTCTGGACACCACAGAGCAAGCCTCGTCCAGTCCAGTCTTGCAAGATTCTCTCATTATTATTTCCCATGATGCATCTCAGTTAGCTATGGCCACAATAATGCTGCAAAACCTGCAAAATCACAAACAGCCACAAAAGCTCAGGGGCACACGCCTAAAAGCATTTAGTTCTTCTTGGCTGGGGTGGCACTGCTCACCTGTCTGTGGGGCCATGATGGAACCTGGGTTCAGCCGGTGGCTCCTGTGCAGGCTGGGTTCAGGCTGCTCACCCCTGGGGCTGAGGCTGCCAGGCACCGCCTTCTGATGGTGATGGCTGGCGTGCAAGCTGGTGAGCAGAAGTACAAGATGTGTCTCCAGGCCTAGGCTTAGAACTGGCTGTCATTTCTGCCCACAGCCCATTGGCCAGAGGAACCACAGACAGGGTCAAGGTCAATAGGTAGAGAAAGCACGCTGAGAACTGACCTGCTGCTGGGCATGGAGAGCCTTCATCACCCCCTATATTTCTCTCTGTGCCCCTGTGAAAACACAGAATCCTTCTTTAAAAACTCCAGGCGGTTGCTACCAATAGATTACAGATAGCCTGAAATGGTTTATGAGGCACCAGACATCAGTGATGTTTATTCTGCTGAAACCTCTCAACACTCCCAAAAGAACCGGATCACTGACCCCTTCCATAGGCAAGCGACCAGAAGCTTAGACAGGGTTACCTGAGGTCAGGTGGGGAGAAGGCTGTAAGGCAGGGACTCAGGTCCCAGCCACTCTGCTCCTTTGCCTCCTCCCCGACCAGGCACGGGGGGCGTCACAGCGGAGCCGATCCCACGCTCAAGAGACTCCTCGGTGAACCTGCCGTCTCCAGCAGACCAGTGTGTCCCTGAGCGTGGCCGGCATTACCAGGGTCGCCTGGCGGTGACCATGCATGGGTCCCGATGCCTGGACTGGGCCAGCAAGCAGGCCAAGGCCCTGAGCAGCAACCAGGACTTCAGCCCGGCTGTGCCACTGGTGGAGAACTTCTGTCGCAACCCAGACGAGGACGAGGAGGGCGCCTGGTGCTACGTCAGTGGGAGGCCTGCCAACTTCGAGTACTGCGACCTGCACTATTGTGGTGAGAGGCCTGGGCGGCGGGCTGGGCCAGGCCACAGAGCCTGGAGGGAACAGAGGACCAGCCTTCCCTAATCTAAGGGTTACTGCCTGTGCGCGTGCTCACTACAGCCTTCCATTACCCATTTCACTTACCCCCCATTTCACAGCTGAGAACAGTGAGGCCCTGAGGTTAAGTTGCCTAGTAACCCAGGTGCCAATTGCACTCCTAACCTCTACCTTACAGGTGGCAAACAAGGCCTGCAGGGCCAATCCAGCCCTCCACCTTGTTTCCATCCCGAGGCAGACAGAGCCCAGTTCTCACTTAAGTGTTAAGGAGTAGTTACATTTCTACAGTCCTAAAATTACATTCCGCCCTTTGAAGGCGATCTGGAGGCTGCTGTGGCGCTGGATAAAAATGAGTTTGATACTCCTGCTGTACATCAACTGTCTCTGAGGCCCTGAGTGGGGGAGCTCGGGGGAAGTCTAGGGCATGGGCGAGGGGCAGCCTGGTCATGTCCCAACTGGTGCCTGGGTCCCTGCAGAGGAGCCGGTGGAAGAGGTGACAGGCGATGGGCCGGATGAGGACTCGAACGTGGCCGTCCAGGGACGCACCACTGCCGAAGAGTTCCAGCCCTTCTTCAACGAGAAGACCTTCGGCACTGGGGAGGCAGGTGAGGTGCAGGCGGGTGGGCGCAGGGCTGCGGGGCAGGCCCTGCGCTCCGCCACGCCCTTCACTGCCCGCCCGGCTCTTCAGACTGTGGGCTGCGGCCGCTGTTTGAGCAGAAGTCGCTGGAGGACAAGACGGAGGGGGAGCTTCTGGAGTCCTACATCGACGGGCGCATCGTGCACGGCTGGGACGCGGAGTTGGGCCTGGCGCCCTGGTGCGTCCCTGGCCCCAGCTACCTTCCCTCTGGATGGAGCCCCGCCCTCTCCGCCCGTCCCCCCCCCCACCTCCCTGCCCACCCGAGACCCCCTGGAGACTTCTCTCCCCTCACAGGTGTAGGCTCACGGGTAGTGAGAGCCCAGCACCAGCACCTCCTCGAGCCTCACAGCAGCCTTTTGAGGTTGGGTTCATTGCTCCTCACATGCAGAAGGCATCGCTGTGGCTCAGGGAGTTTAAGTGGCACTGCTAATGGACAGCTCTAGGGTCAGTAGAACTGGGGTCAAGTCCACAGCAGAACTTGACTCCAGAGGTGGGCGAAGCAGTGCAACTCTGGACTAGAAGAAGCTGGGGAGGGGTGCAAAAGCAGGAAGCCCCAGTCCCCAGAAGTGGCCAGGTCAAGCTGAAGTCTGGGCCCAGCAGGCAGTTCTGTCCAGTTAGTTCTTTTAAAAAACGGGACTTTCTGCTTCCAGGACTGGTGAAGGGGCAGCTCCCCAGCTTTAACACTTCCTGTTCTTCCTCCCAGGCAGGTGATGCTTTTCCGGAAGAATCCCCAGGAGCTGTTGTGCGGAGCCAGCCTAATCAGTGACCGCTGGGTCCTCACTGCTGCCCACTGTCTCCTGTACCCACCTTGGGACAAGAATTTCACTAAGGACGACCTTCTTGTGCGCATTGGCAAGCATTCCCGCACCAGGTACAGAACCGGGGGCCCAGGGGAGTTTGGCAGGGGTCTCAGCCCTCCTGAGACCGGACTAGAGGGGCTCCCGTTCTCTGGGGGCGTGAGCCACGACTGCATGTCTCTTGCAGCGGGAAACCCAGCATCATCTGTTGCAGCGTCTAGTTGGCCACGTCCTGATCTAGGCTTCAAGCCAGGGTCAGAGAAACCAGGACTTTGCAGAGAGCACATCCCAGCCTGCCCTTAGCTCCCCTGCAGGCCCCAGGGCAAGGCCCAGGGGTGACTTCTGAAAAGAGGCTCTTTGGACCAGAGCAGACACCCGCTTCCCTCCCCTGTCTGCCCAGGCTGTTTGACAACAAAGTCCTGTGCTAGGCCAGGATGAAGCTACCAGGGAGCTGCCAAGTGTCACCTTGATAATGGCCCACTGGTCCCCCTGGCTCCCAGATCCGAGGGCAATCAGTTTCCTTGCTCAGGGAACCACTGTCTTTTACTGAGTGGCTTACGGCTTCTCCCTTTCTCTGCTGGGATCTGCGGAGGTATGAGCGAGGCATAGAAAAGATCTCCATGCTCGAAAAGATCCAGATCCACCCCAGGTACAACTGGAGGGACACCCTGGACCGCGACATCGCCCTGCTGAAGCTCAAGAAGCCCATCGCCTTCAGCGACTACATCCACCCCGTGTGCCTGCCTGACAAGCAGACAGCTACGAGGTGGGGCAGCCAGAGGGGTGGGGCGGCCTCAGCTGAGGAGTCTGGGCTGGGTTCCGGGCCTGCCTGGCTGCCTGGCTGCCTCGCAGCAGCCCTTCCCTTTCCCAGGCCTCAGTTTCTGCATTGGTGTTTGAGGTTCTGGTTTCTGAGGGAGGGTGTTGGGGCCAGAGGCTTCTGGAGCAGTGAGTTCTTACCAGGTCCATCTCCCTTCCCCAAAGGCTGCTCCAGGCTGGATACAAAGGACGGGTGACTGGCTGGGGCAACCTGAGGGAGGTATGGAAAGCCAGTGCCACCGAGGTGCAGCCCAGCGTCCTGCAGGTGGTGAACGTGCCCATTGTGGAGCGTCCGGTCTGCAAGGCCTCCACCCGCATCCATGTCACCGACAACATGTTCTGTGCTGGCAAGTCCCTGGGGTGGCCCGGCAGGAGGGAGCAGCAGGGCCCCCGGGTGGCAGGGGGCACGGAATGGAGATGTCTTAAGAGCACAGACCTGGTCAGGTCCTGGCTCCAGCCACTTACAAGCCACATGAATTTGGGCAAAGCTGCTTAACCTATTGGGTGCTCAGTTTCTTTCTCTATAAAATGGAGACAAAAGCCTCTATACCAGAAGGTTGCGTGAGGGTTCAGGAAGTTCATACAGAGTATTAGGTGTGGTTCCGGGCCCTGGGTATATTGTCAGTACGTGTGAGCGCAGGGAGCAGCCAGAGGTCACCTGGCTGCTCAAGTGGGTCGGGGCAGAGAGAAAAAGCCATTCATCTGCTCAGGCCTTCAGCAAATACCTCTCGAGCGCCCCCTGTGACCCACACAGTGGTCCAGGGCGCACAGCAAGGACCCAAACACTGTGTCTTCATAGCGCTTCCTTCCTAGAGGGAACGCATGTCCAGAAATAGACCGAAGGAGCCGTCCCTGGTGGGAAGAGAAATGAAGCAGAGGAAAATCAGGGTGAGAGAGATAGGGTTGGGTGCCGCTCCACACAGAGTGGCTTCAGAAGGCTGGAGAAGCCCTCTCGGAGGTGATATCTGAGCAGAGGCTGGGAGAACTGATGGGGCGAGTCAGTCTAGGGGGCATGCGCTGCAGGCTGAGGGGACAGCAGGTGCAAAGGCCCTGAGTGGGAGGCATGCTCGGTGTGACCGAGGAGCAGCAGGGCTGGGTTCAGCAGTAAACACAGGAAGGAGGGCAGGCAGAGGCGGCCGCTTTCCTTAGAGCCTGGAAGGACTCTGGCTTTTACTAAGAAGAGCAGGGATTGGAGGTCTTGGGACAGGTGAATAAATGGCCTAACTTAATTAAAAAACTTTTTTTACATTTTAGTATAATTTCAGACTCATAAAAGTTGCAAAAATAATATAAAGAACTCCTGTACACCATCAGTGAGACCCTGCACCCCTGCTCGGTGTGGTGTGTGTGCACACATGCTGTTAGGGGGGAGCTGTGCTCAGGGGGCCTTTGCACCTCGCGGGCTGAACATCCGCAAAGCCACAGGGATGCTGTCTTACAGGACTGCAGTGTAGTCACTGCATCGGAAAATTGATAATGACACAAAGCTATTGCCTTGTCTGCAGAGGCTATTCAAAGGTTTTCCACTGTCCTACTTCTGAACATCTTTTATAGTGAAAGACAAGAATAGGTGTTTCTTACCCAGGATCCAGTGCAGATTTGCCACTGTATTTATTGTCAGTCTTTGTCTTCCGTGACTTTGACATGTTTGGTAAGTACAGGCCAGTGAATCTACAGGTTGGCCCTCCACTGGGCCTGGCTCAGTTTTCCTCATGATGGGTTCAGGCTCTGTGACGCTGAGTCCTCGGTGAGTCCCATCAGCAGACGCGAGTGTGGTATCCTTACGTATCACAGCTGGCGAGCTTGACTTTGACCTCTGGGTGAAGGTGGTATCTGCCTCTGCCAGGTTTCTCACTGTCAAGTTCTGCTTTCCCCTTTGGAATTAGTAAGGATCTTATGGGCAGAAACTTCGACACTGTTATCCTGTTTCTTATCAAATTGTTCTCCCACCTATAATGGTGGCTGAACGGTGCTTTTCTAATTCTGTCATTTCTGCATTTATTAGTTATTTTTTCATGGTAGGGAAGACCGCTTCTTTCTTCCATTGTATCAGTGTGGCCTCGTGGGCCCTTACTTTAAGGGTCATAACTTGTTACTGTTATCTATTTTGATGTTCAGATTATCCCTGGAAGGGCAGGGGGAGTCACTGCAACCTAGCATCTGGGACTTTGGGTGCTGTCCCTGTCATTGTCTGGGTGCTTTCTTACTTTTGGCACAACGAGATGTTCCCGGTCCATCCGACTTTCCTCCTGGTGGAGAATGGCGTTTAGAAGCCAGGGTCTGGGGGGTGGGTGAGTGTGTCACTACTGCAGCGTCAGGGTGTCCAGGCCCTCTCCGCCAGAAGCACTAGAAATGTGTGTTATACATACCACCATCTGTACCTATTTTTTCTGTCAGTCTGTCTAAAACCGTGAATTCAGACTGCAGCCTCTCCTAGCCATCCAATAGGGTTAACTTCTCCTTTGTACACTTACAACTCTTGGTTGACGGTGAGAAAGCTGACTCCCATTCTCCATCATGTATTTACTTATTTGATGGATACCAGAATACACAGTTTCAGAACTAACTCCTCCGTAGCCGGGACAACCAATCCTGCTAACTGGAGTTCAGCCTTCCGGTCCTCTTAATTTGCTTTTGTTTTAGGTGTGGTTCTTAATAACTGTGAGTTTGCTGTCCTTTCACTGTTCATCTTTTTTATCTTCTTTTTCTTAGGTAAGTCCCTTTAACATTTCATATAATAAGGGCTTGGTGATGATGAACTCCTGAACTTGACCTTATCTGAGAAGCACTTTATCTGTCCTTCCATTCTAAATGAAAGCTTTGCTGGATAGATCAATCTTGGATGTAGGTCTTTGGCTTTCATGACTTGGAATACTTCTTTCCAGCCCCTTCTTTCCTGTAAGGTCTCTTTTGAGAAATCCACTGACAGTCTGATGGGAACTCCTTTGTAGGTGACTGTCCCCTTATCTCTTGCTGCTTCTAGGATTCTCTCCTTCATTTTAATCTTGGCTAATGTAATGATGATGTGCCTTGGTGTGTTCCTTCTTGGGTCCAACTTCTTTGGGACTCTCTGAGCTTCCTGGATTTCCTGGAAGTCTATTTCCTTTGCCAGATTGGGGAAGTTCTCCTTTATTATTTGTTCAAATAAGTTTTCCACTCATGGCTGTTCCTCTTCCCCTTCTGGTACCTCTATAATTTAAATGTTGGGACATTTAAAGATGTCCTGGAGGTTCCTAAGCCTCTCCTCATTTTTTTGAATTCTTGTTTCTTCATATTTTTCTGTTTGGTCATTTTTTCCTTCCTTCTGGTCTCCTCCCTTGATTTGAGACCCAGTTTCCTTTCCATTACTATTGGTTTCCTGTGCATTTCCATTCATTTCAATTAGTTTAGCCTTCATATGTTCCTCTAATTTGTGACTAAAATCAACCAGTTCTGTGAGCATCTTGATCGCCAGTGTTTTGAACTGTGCATCTGAAAGTTTGGCTATTTCTCCATTGCTTAGATTTATTGGCTCTGGGGCTCTGAGTTGTTCTTGAGCCATATTTTGATTTGTTTGTGCCTGTTACATATGAGGAAAGGCACCTTAGATGTTCACCAGGGTGGGGCCACCCAGGGTGCTGGTTTGTGACACTATATGTGGGGGCGGGATCAGAGAGGGACAATGGCGGTTCCCTCTGCCGCTTCCTGCCACTGGGGCCTGCGTGGTTGTCTCACTGCTCGCTCCTTCACGGGTTTATCTGCGTGCGAATGTGTGACCATGGTCAGCCCTCAGTGGGTCCGCCAGCTTCTCCACACCTGGGATCCGCCCACAGCTGCTGGCGCACCTGGGTCGCGTGCCCGAGTCAGTCCAGTGGATCTTTCCTGCCCAACCCTGCTCCGCTGCTGGCTCTGCCCCTCTTACCGGTTTGGCTGAAGGGTTCATTGTTGTCAGACTTCCGGTATAGTTCAATTTTCTGTGGTTTGGCTGCGTTTTTGGTGCTAAAACTTTGTTGTTTTTAAACTTAGTTGTGTGAGAAGGTGCAGTGCTTCCACCTACGCCTCCATCTTGGCGGAAGTCCTCTTCCTTACTCTTTAGTGTGGCTATTAAAAACATTTTTTATGCCCCATTATGTGGGTGAACCCATAGTTTATTCAACCATTTCCTGTACGTGGGCCTTTAGATTGTTTCCGCTTGAACATCTTTTCATGTGCTTAGTGGCCATCTTTATATCATTTTTTGTGTTATCTCTTCAAATTTTGGGCCTATTTTTCTCCCTTTCCTATCAATTTTTAAGAGTTCTTCATCTATCCCTGGCTGGTGTAGCTCAGTGGATTGAGTGCTGGCCTGTGAACCAAAGGGTTGCTGGTTTGATTCCCAGTCAGGGCACATGTCTGGTTTTCGGACCAGGTCCCCCGTAGGGGCACATGAGAGGCAACCACATACTGATATTTCTCTCCCTCTCTGTCTCCCTTCCTTTCCCCTCTCTAAAAATATATAAAATCTTAAAAAAAAAAAAAAAAGAGTTCTTTACCTGTTAGTGATAGTAGGCCTTTATTGGTGATATGTGTTGCAAATATTTTCTCCCACTATGTTGATTTTTTAATCTTTATAACTTTTGTCACTCAATTAAAAACTTTTATGTAGTCATTTAGTAACAGAGTCAGAAAACCCTTCCTTGTGCCCAGGTGGTGGAGAAAATCCCATGCTGCCTTCCGGCATGTGGTTTCATTGTTCCACACTCAGGTCCCTGAGGCTTTTGGACTTTGAGCTTATGTGTGAAGCAAGGTGCGGATCGAATCGATCTTTTCCCAGATGGCTCACCAGCTGGCCACACCGTTTATTAAAAATTCCACCTTTGAGATGGCTTTTGCCACACACTGAATTTCTGTGTGCACTTCAGACTGTTTCTATTCGAAGACACTATTCGGTTCTCCTGGTCTGTTGTTCATTACAGTAAGGCACGGGCTCATTTTAATTACAGAGGCTTTGGAGTACGCTTTAGCATCTGGTGGGGCTTGTCTCTCGTAGCTTTTCTCTTCCAGAAGTTTCCTGGAAGTTCTTGCGTATTTGTTTTTCCACGTGAACTTTGGCATGACCTCGTCTAGCTTTGTAAAAAGGACTGTAGATATTTTTATCCGGATTACGTTAAATTTAGAAATTAATTTAGGAAGAACCGGCATATTTCTGAGTCATTTTATCCAAGGACAGGAAACGGTGTCCCCACTTGTCCAGGTCTCTCTGGTACCTTTCCGTCCTGATGCCGTGTACTGGGACTTTTTCTCCTTGGCACCTTACTTCATGTATTTATATTTCTCTTGAGTAAATTGGCTAGTGGTGTTAAAAATAAATGAAAGCTACTTAGGGATTTGGCTTATTAATTAGGCTTCTTTTTCAATTTTCTATCTCATTAATTTTTGCTTTTATCTTTTCAAAAATTTTCTTATGCTTTTGGGGCTTACTTTGTTCTCTTTCTAACCTTTTGAGCTGACACTGGTTAATTAATATTTTTCGTGATTGTAATTTTTTTGCATGATTGTAATTATTTAAAATTTATTTACTTATTGTTCAAGTACAGCTTTCTGTAATTTTAAAAAATATTTATTTTTAGCCCTGACTGGTGTAGCTCAGTGGATTGAGCACGGGCCTGTGGAGCAGGGGGTTGCCGGTTCGATTGCTGGTGGGGGCACATGCCTGGGTTGCAGGCCAGGTCCCCATTGGGGGACACATGGGAGGCAACCACACATTAATGTTTCTCTCCCACTATTTCTCTTTCCCTTTCCCTCTCTCTGAAAATAAATAAATAAAATATTTAAAAAATGTATATATTTATTTTTAGAGAGAGGAGAAATGAAGGAGAAAGAGAGGGAGAGAAAGTGATTGGTTGTCTCTCTCATGCCCCCAACTGGGGACCTGGCCCACAACCCAGGCATATGCTGTGCCTGGGAATCGAACTGGTGACCTTTTGGTTTGCAGGCTGGCACTCAATCCAATGAACTGCACCAGCCAGGGCAATTTTTTTTTTAGAAATTCTGTAATTTTAGTTTGTGTTTCTCTTACACCCAAGAGTTGTTTAATAGGTGGTTTATAAATTCCCAGATGAGAGGGGCCTTTTGTATTTTGATTTTGTTAATGATTTTGAGTTTTGATGCATTACAGTCTGAGAGTATTGTTTGTACTATTTCTACTTTATGATTTTGTTTTTTGAGACAGGTGTTGGATTAATTTCTGTGAATGGTACATAGGCGTTTGAGGTGTGCGGGTGTGTTCACTTATGCATGTCGTTTAGTATATAGTCATAATTGCACCTTGTCACGTTATTTACAGCATTTATATCCTTATTTATTTTCAGTTCACTTGCTCTATTTTGTACTGAGTTTGGTGCATTAAATTCTATTAATGTATTTCTGTCTCCTTGCATTGCTTATAGTTTGTTTTTAACTTTATGATTGCTGTATTATTTGGTACAGATAATCATAAATGTTTTTTATCCATTGTAATTGTGGCTTTTAGCTTTAAATGTTTCCTTCTTTATTTTCAGTTTTAGTGTCACTATCCCTGCTCTGTTTTTATTTCCACTGGTCTGATATACCTTTGCCCATCTCTTTAATTTTAGCCTTTATGGATCACTGTTATATATATCTATCTATATAGATAGATATATCTCTATATATAGATACAGCATAGTTGAGTCTTGCTTTGAGTCAAAAACTTTTTTTTGTAATAAGTTAAGCCCATTTACATATATATATATATATATATATGACTGAATGAGTATTAACTCATTATTTTACAATATTTACATGTATTACATTTCATTTGCTATGTTTTGCTATGATCTTTTCTTTTAAAAAATATATTTGTTTAGGAAGGTTACATTTTTGTTCTACTATTATCTTTGAACTTACACCTTTCCGGAACGCCCTTAGCTCCTTTTCTTCTGTAATCTTTTCATTGTTCTCCCATCTGTTAGCTCTGAACAGTTGGTGTTTACTTTTCCTTTTCTCCCTTCATTTTTAGCTGCATTTTTTTCTACTTGTCAGAACAGTCAGTTTTTTTGCTGAAGCATTCGTCTCATTTGGATGAAGCTTGTCTGCTAGTTGGTTCTTCAAGAAGGGTTTTGAGTTAGGATTTTCAGTTCTTATATGTTGTTTTTCTGTCACCTGGACACCCGATAGTCTGTTTGTTTGGGAGCACATGGAATCCACGGCCATATTTTCCTTCCTTGGATTTTTGGAAAATATATCTTGATTATCGCTGGCTTTGTGTGTTGGTTTTGAAAAGTCTGATGTCAGTGGAACTGTTTGGACCTGGTGAAGTGTTCGGTTGTTTTGCCTGGAGGCCTGAGAGTTTTCCTGTCCCTGCAGTCGAACAGCTTTACCAGGGCGTGCCGTGGAGTGGAGAGCTTCAGGCTAGTGTGCCAGGTGTCCAGGGACCTCAGTCTGTGCATTTGGTCTTCTTGCATTTCTGTGACATTTTGCTAGATATTTGAAGATACTCATTCTTTTTCATTGTTGCGTTATTCTTCCTGAGGGACTCAAATTGCTTCTTTGGCCTGAATTCCATCTCAACCACTTTTTGGTTTGCATTTCTTCTGTTTTGCCCATTTATTTTACATTTTTGAAGTTCTGAGTCCAGGTGTTTTGTCATGTTGCAAAACTTTGCTTGAAGAAATTTAATTCAGTTTCAGTGTTCTCCTGTTTCATGGTTGTTTTGGGGGAGCATTTTTATTAGCTGAGGTTTTTTTGTACTTATATTTTATTTCCCTATAGTATCTTTGGATGGATCTCTTTAGCTTTCATCTGTTCACTTTGTAGATTTGGGGTTATTTACAAGGGTTTACATTTCAATTGGGTTTATATTGAAATTGCATGACTTAAAAAAAATCTAAGTAGATATTTTCTTATCCCCATCTGCACATAAGTTTTAAGATTAGGTGTACAATTAGATGTCAGGTTGATTTGAAGTTTGGGTGTTCTCTACATTCTAGGTATATTGAAGGTGTGGTTTCTTTGTGTAGCTTTCTCATTCATGTCGTTCTGCATTGTTTGTGGAGGATATGTGAGGAGTTTGGACAAAGGCAGCCACCATGTCCTCAGCTACCTGTAAACCTAAGATACTTAAGCCCTTCTGCCTGTTGGATGCAGAATTGGTTGTAGGTGCACAGAAGCAGCATTAGCTCCAGGTAGAAGTGCATGTGGTGTGACCAGGGGTAGAAGTGGTAGAAGTGGCTGCATATGGGACCTAGGCTGGAGAGCTGACAAGATTTGCAGAAGAATAGGTGTGGGGGCAGGGAAGTGAGGAGAGTTGAGGCGACTAGAAGGGTCAGGTGAACGCTTCCCAGTGTGCCTCCTGACGGGGCTGGAGTGTGGGGCTGGAGTGTGAGCCGTGCTCCTGAGTACTGCTGTTCTCTCTCCAGGTTACAAGCCCAGTGAAGGGAAACGAGGGGATGCTTGTGAAGGTGACAGTGGGGGACCGTTTGTCATGAAGGTAAGCTAGCTTCTCTGAAGACCAGGACTTGGGGGTGGATGTTCTGGTGGGGTGGATCAGGAGGGGCCCAAGTTCAGAAACAGCTGCCTGATGGGGTAATGCTGACACGACCCTGGACTTGACTATTGGAAGCCCTGTGTTTCTCCCTCAGAGCCCCTTTAACAACCGCTGGTATCAAATGGGCATCGTCTCGTGGGGTGAAGGCTGTGACAGGGATGGAAAATACGGCTTCTACACACACGTGTTCCGCCTGAAGAAGTGGATACGGAAGGTCGTCGAACAGTCTGGAAGTTAGGGGGCCAGCCCCATTCTGGGTTCCTCACCATAAGATCACAGAAACCAATCCAAGCAAAGAATTATTTTTGTGGTTTGTTCCTAAAACTACAGTTCTCAATAAAAGTGAATGTGAGCCTCCAAGCTCCCAGGGCTGTTCACGGGCCTCTCAGGAGGAGCTGGTACCACTCCTGGATAAGGGAGATATATTCTTAAGCATTCAGTTTCCTTGGTTATTTAGGTCCTTGGTTACTTATATCCTCAGGTTTTCAGCTCACTTGACCTGTCTGTACATACTGCCATTCCTGCTGGGTGCATGTATGTTACTTGGGGAACTGGGCACTATAGCCCCCGACAGGTGTGGGTGACAGTGGGTTTCACCTGGTGTGAAATGCCAATCGGTTGGTGACTGCCTGGAGGACTGTGTTGAGCAGGGTCATACCTGAGCTTGAAGGGGAAGTGTGAAGGGACTTAAGGTAGGTACCTTTGCTCCGTTTTTTTCCCCTCTCCCATTTTTAATACGTCAGGGAACAGAGTTCCCTGCCCTCATTCTCTGCTTTGGGTTGGCCAGAAAGCCGAGTAAAAACTAGGCATTCCGTGAGCTTGCAGGTCTTCGCAGCCTGGAGCTTTGACAGAGCAGGGAGGGGACTAAGAATTCATACCCAAATCTGCTTTCTGAGCAAGGGCGTGCCTCTCACCAGACGACTGCCTCCCTCGGGATACAGCCGAGCTGCGGGCACTGTGAGCTCGGGCACTTTGCTCTTCCGAGTTAAGTTAGCGAAGTCCAGGCCTCAGCACAGCCGCTCTCTAAACGTCTGTCTTCTCCTGTGGCACAGACTCCACCTCCACCTTCCCTTCAGGGACCGCCTAGTCCCGATCCATCCTTAGGGAGAGAGGCACGTTCCACTGCAGGTGGCGTGGGGACCACCTGAAAATCATGACTGGAATCAGGAAAGAACTCATTTTCTATCAACCATTCATTTCTTGAACAAAAGGGAGTCTGGAAAACTTCCTTGACTTGATGATGGGCCCGAACGTCTCCCATCTGAATCCAGAACCTCCCAGTACTGCCCAGCGTTTCCGCCGGGAGGGAGGCCCCTTGCATTCACTCCAGTGACTCCTCCACTGCCTTTGGGGGCTTCGCTCCCCCTGAGCTTCGGGCAGCAACTGTGGTGCGACTCAGGGAGGCTCCCCTGCGCTCTTTTAGTCCAGCGACTTGAACAGTCGCAGTGTGAAAACCACTGCCGCCCCGCGCTGGCCCTGGAACAATCTCCCGTGCATGTGGGCAGCAATGAGCTCCTTGGAACCACAGTGATGGTGGGAGGGAAGCCATGGCCCAACCTCAGAACAGGGAAGAGTGAGATTTCTCTGCCCCCCAGGAGCTGCTGCGCAGGAAAGGAAGGAAGGGTGAGTCCCTTCTGTTCCCAAAGAGCGAAGAGGGGGCTGCGTCTGAGCCGAGACAGGGCGGGTTTTGCGGACAAGCCGTTTTAATCTTTCTCTGACCGGCTGAGTACCCAGCTGGTCCCTAGAACAGGAGACAGGAAAGTTCCCAACACTCCCAGACATGGAGTATCTTGGGAGACAGGTATAGTTAATGCAAACTTTATTTATAAAAGACTCTTAAATTAGTTGTATCATGCCATGCATTCATACAGAATACAGTGACCCTTCAGGGCTACAAGGAGAAGAGCTCACAAACTCAAAGGAAGACTATTAAAGGGGTTCTAATAGTTAAAAGGTAGGAAAGATTAAGACAACTTTACAAATGAGCAAGTAAAAAGAAAAGGGCACGGAAACTAGTCTGAGCCGAGCGGAGGGCAGCTGTTTACAAGTCTGTACACTAAGCTAACACGCAGACAGTCTCCTAGAGGGGCAGGCGCTGATGGAGCAGCAGAGTATGTACAAACCCTTGTGCCGTGACTCCTCCCCAGATCCGTGGTGGATGCGAATGACCAGTTCATGTGCGCCAGGCCCACCAAGGCCCCTGTAAACTATGAGGACTCTAGTTTAGTAAACTAAAGCTGCGGGGGCCGGGAGGGGGCGGCTTCATTTGCGACTGCTCTTTATTCTCTCCAGTCTCTTTTTCAAGTCATCGATGTTAGCTGTGGACGAGGAGGCCGTGGTCGTGGTCCCCGAAGGGTGAGTCTGGTGAGGATCCAGGTCCGAGTGCTGGTGCTGCTCCCGGGACTCCCGGAGCTGGGAGAGTTTGCTGTGCAGCATGTCTGTGGAGGAGGCGACGGCAGGGATAGCTGGTTTGGAGAGCAGAGAGGTCAGCGGAGGCCGGTCATCCTGCTGTCGAGAGAAGGAGAAACACTGTGGAAGGTCCAGAGGGGGCCCTGGAACAACATTTACTGAGACTGGGCCGCTCCTCTGGGTTGGCCCGGCCCCGGCTCACGCGGGCGGGAAGCAGCAGTACCTTGGTGTTGTCCAGACCACATCGCTGTCGGAGGATTTTTAGCCTTTCCAGGTAGACAGATGGTCCCACCTCCTCTCCGTTCGTGTTGCCTATGGAGGACACTGCGCTTGTGGGGGCAGGTGCACACGTGACCTCCATCTGAGGGGAGATGCCTGGAGGAGATGGAGAGAGGATATGCAGACACACGCTCCCCCCACTTCACTAGGCTGCCCTCGTTAATCTGTCGGCAAAGGGAACAATGTGGGGCTTGGAGGTCGCCCCTGTACTTCAGGACCAGAAGTCCACTTGGATCAGTCTGGAGCTGGTAATTGAGGGTGTTCAGAAATGCACCAGAGAAGCTTACTGAGAACTCAAGAATGGATGCAGAGGAGATATAAGTTGGGTGTCCTCTGTCCTGGGCTGTGCAGGGAGTATGCCCCCCGCCCTGCAACTGACCTGGTCAATCCCAAAGCCTCAGCTACTCCTGAGTGTACGTCGGTGCCCAAGAGAACCACCCACGGGCTTTAAATGTTTGGAAGAATCAGACCAGGTCCAGGCCACGTGACACAAGGGGAACGCTCTTATTCAAACCAGGGAGGACATTCATGGGGAAGAGGGGGAACCGAGATGCCCAACAGGCAGCCCGAGGCCTGGGAACTCGGAACTTTGATCCCAGCACTGAGATCAGTATTCTGGTAGCAGAGGGGGAAACCAAAACTAAAAGAACCCATCACAGCTCCTTAATTTCTGGGAAGAAACAGTCATACCACATGCAGACATGTATAAGGACCGATTTGATGTTAATAAAAACGCATTACATCAGCTAAAGAGACCAAGCACAGGGAAGACACACTGTTAGGGAAAACAGGAAATAAACTACCCGACACAGTGAGAACACTGAAAGGGGAGAACGAAGGAGGAATCACGTGAATGCCAACAGTGTCGGGCGCTCCTACGGCTAAGGCATGAGAGCAGTCAGTAACGAGCGGGGTTGCGGGCCTGCGCTGCAGCGTGCTGTTTAGGCCCGCAGCCTCGCCCCAGCGTTGAACAGCAGCAGAGAGGACTCTGGGAATGAGGAAAGAAGGCTTCACCCTGATTGGCCAAACCACGGTCTGCCCTTGGGTGGTATGCTGTCAGACATTCTGCTCACCACGGTTCCAGAGAAAGACCATGAGGTGTTGTGAACAACGACACAAGTGACTTGAGAATACAACTGAGGCTTCTGCCCAGCAAGGCGCATGGTGAGAGAGAAATAAGTGGAATCTGAAAACCACACAGGAACCCAGTTTTACAGGCAAACAAATTCCAGAACGTAAGAGAAGGCAAGGCTCCCTGGCCTCAGAAAGAATGAAATGCAGGACAAGCGTGTGCGTTCTACTCTGCGCGGTCAGAGGGAACCTTTGCAGTTGGGTCCTTCTCGGGTTTAAGGCTCTGAACAGCTATTTTCTATTAAATGACACCTCCTAAGTCTTCCTTTGCCTCTGGGTCCTGTGAGCAGTAACTCTCCAACACTGGCTTTTTTACTGTGGGAACAGAATCATTTCAGCTTAACGTAAGGCTAAGCCTTCATTCATATCATTCAGCAAATACGTACTGAGTGTTTACTATGTGCCAGGCAACAAAACAGACAAGTCTCTACCCTTGTGAATTTTCCACCCTACACTGTGTGGCACGCTGGGAGGGTGAAGGGTAGGCTGCAAGTTTTCAGTAAGAGCTCATTTCGATAGTATCTGAACAAAGACCTCGAGGAGGAAACCAAGCTGGCCCCAGGCTGTCTGGGAAAGATCAATCTACACGCAAGAAACAGCCAGTGCAAAGGCCCTGAGGAGGTGCGTGCCCGGTGGGGCTGAGGTGCAATGAAAGTCAGGGAGGGCAGCAGGAGATGAGGTCCTAGAGCCATCAGAGGCCATACAGTGTAGGACCTCACAGACACTTTTGCTTTTGCAGAGTGAAAGGGAGAGCCTTTGGAAACTATTTGAGCTTTGTTTTGATGCTCTGTGTGGAAATAACACGGGGAAGCAAGAGTGGAGCAGGAGGGGAGTGCTCCGATCCAGACCAGGCAGCAGCCACAGAGGTGAGAAGTGTGGGTGGATTCTGCATGTAGTTTGCGGAGAGAGCCAAAAGGACCTCCCGACAGAGAGGAAAAGCAGGGTCTGGGCACCCTAGAAGGACGAAGGCACCATTACCAGAAGGGAGACAAATACAAATGGAGCAGGTCTGGGGGAGGGGCAGGAGCTCAATCCTTGACATGCTGGGTTTACCATGTCTATCAGAAACCCGAGTGGAGAATGTCGTGCAGGACGTATCAGTCAAGGTCAGGAAGGCGGTCTGAGGTACCCATCAAACAAGCTGGGCCTTGCTGGCACAAATGCCATCTAGAGTGATGACAGTGGACGGGTTCATTGAGGGAGTGAGAGTGAGAAGGAAGAGATGACCATGGACTGAACTCTGGCGGACGCCAACACAGACTTCAGGCCCAGGAAGAAGGTCAGCAAGGCGGGTGGAAGCCAAGGGGAGAAACTGGTTCAAGGGCAGGAAGCTTGCCATTGTCAAATGCTGACAATGCAGGAGACGGAGCTGATGACTGTCTGTAGCCATGTGAACATTACTGGTGATCATTAAGTATTAGGTGCATGGTTATAAATGGAAACCCATCAAAACCTCTGGCTGCTGAGCTGGGAGCTAATCTGACTTATTCCTGGAGCTACTAGAGGAAGCCGTACCTGTTGAAGTGGGAATACGGCCTTTGCCCTCCCTCTCCATTTCGATCACCCGAAGGCCTCTTTCAACATAGCTCTGGAAGAACTGCGAGGAGTTTTTCAGAAATGGTTCAATGTCAGCATCTGAATATTTCTTCTTATATTCATATAACTCTGCAAGGCCCTGGTTATCGAGATAGAGAAAGGGGGGTGGATGTCAGTTAGTGACCCTTTCCGTAATGCAGATCACCACCTGGCTCAGCCCTTTCCTCTCACCTCTTTAGTATTCTCTTTGGAGCCAATCTTCTTAAAAATCTCAGCTAAGAAATCATTCACTTTGGCCTTTGATGATTTTTCATCCTGAGAAGTTGAAAGACACAAGCAAGGATTAGTTGGTTAGACCTGAGTTATTAATTAGGAACCACAGGTTGGGAAAGGACTGAAAGAGCTCAACATGCAGACCACTCTGGTTGGTCACCACAGGTGACAGAATCACCCGTGCTGCAGGGCCCGAGGCAGGCCCACCACCACTCTGCGTCACTGTGGCCTCCAGTCTCAGGTTTTCAACGAGAAGAGGAAGGTGGATCTGGCCCGTTCCTCCCCCAGTAGAGCCCACAGTAGATTGTCTTAGGCACAAAGAAACCTTTCATAGGAACCAAGAAGCATGTAGTCATAAAACAGCTTATGTTTGCAATTTGCAAGGTGGAAACAGTTACAGCAACGCAGCAGGAGAGTGACACTGGGCCGAGCCCCGAGCCTTCGAGAAGATGGTTACGTCCAAACAGCCTCAACCCCCTCGTCTTTCAAGTCAGGACACTCACGATCCGAGATGCTCCCTTTTCTGTTTCCTTATCCGACTTGCTCCCAGCCTGGTCCATGCTGTGCTTCATCATCCGGCAGAGGTGGGCCTCCAGCTCAGACTCGCTCTTGTTGTCAATCATGGTTAAATGGTCCAAGATCTGCGGGAGACACGGGCACAGTCTAATGGCAGCAGCGCCGTTCCCATGGTGCTCTCCCAAACTCCCGTGGCTCTGCTCACTCACCTTGGGCCCTTTCAATTTGCATAACGTGTGCAGCAACGTCTTCAGGGTCCTGATGGGAAACTCACTTTTGCACTGCTTTAGTTTCTCTTTGGGGAAGACCTTCATGAAAATGTGTATATCCAGAAGAATTCTGTCCAGATTAATGCTGTTGATGGTGTCAGGCAACAGTCGAACCATTCTCCAGAGACACTATCAAAAAGAAAAAAGTTAGAGGGAATGACTGAGGAACAAAGGAAATCTGGCACCAGCCAGCCTCCCTAAGCTCTGGGATCACTTCTGAAAGAAGTCCGGGATATAAATGTGGCATATCATATCTTTCAAGTGTGGCTGCTACAAATGAGCAATTTTACTCGCTTGAACCATGTCACTGGCTGAAGTGTGACAAGTCATCCATCTAATCATCTCAGACACCCTTCCTTCCTGCTCCCTAGAGCCAGGAGCCTTACATATAAAGAGAATGTGGAAATTCTCTTTTGGGTTTACTCTGTCCCTATGAGTAAGACAGACATATTATGTACCCAAATCTAACCCACGACGACAGAATATTTTTCACTATTACAGTGTATCAACAGTGTTATAATGTTATAGATATGTACCATTTGGAGTTTTTCCATTAAAGAGACCAAAATATTATTGGCTTATAGGTATCTTTGCCCCCCAAAAGAATTCAAGTTTCTTTCAATTCTAGGAGAATTGGTGGGATATTTACAAATCAGTTCTTCCTTTTCACTGTTTGGGCCAGGAATTGTTTGGGCCTGAGCTAGGGATATAAATGGAGGAAGGCAAAATGAAGACCAACTGTATTTTTCAGGTATATCTTGATTTGGGTCTATGTCTTAGTTCCAACTCCTCTTTCCTCACACTTTAATAAAGTTTTGCATTTTTTAAAGAGATCAGATTATTTCAACTTCACCTTCATAACAAGCTCTGAGAATTTGGGAGAGCTGGCTGTTGCTAGCAGGCTGTCTTGAAGCAAAACCAGTAGGGCACTAGGAGAAAAAAAGCCAACAAAACAGAATTAATAAATTTGCAACCTGAATTCCAATTAAAATCAGTAACTGAAGGGCCAAGAGTAAGTGCTCTCTATCCATCTAATCAACTGGATTAATCCAGCCCGTGGATTAAAAACTGCCTTTGATTATTTGACATTCAGTTATTAAGAAAATAAACACCAACCGTTTAAGCCTTGTAAATTTACCACTTGGTAAATGATAAAGCTTGTCACTATTCATTGTCAACAGTCACTGAAAGAGAAATGTACATAGCCCACAAAACTACTGCTTATTTGCTGGCTTACTGTGTTATTAGTTGTTACTCTTTAAAGCTGGAATGCCTTTGGTTCTTGAGGAAAGAGTGATAAATCAATTCATTAGGCAAACTTAAAGTTACAACTGACCCAGTGCCTTCTGGCCTCCCTGGGTAACAAGAGAGAGGCTGTTCTAGGCTGTGATGCTGAGCCCACAGATGTACCTCAGGATGTTGGTCTGGTCTGACTTCTCCAGAACCTTCACCACCAAGAGGTTCACAGAGCGGATCACCTGTTGTCCTTCCTCCAGGTCTTCGATGCGAGAGTCCAGCATGAGGGTGATGAGGCCGTGCATCAGGTCTTTCAGGACTCCGGTCGAGGCCTCCCGGGCCAGGCTCTCTATCTGAAACAGCTGTGTGGTCATGACTACGTTAGAGCGGGAAGATAAATGTGGGTGGCTATTCTAGGAAATCGTTGTGTCTTTAAAAAGGCGGAGTAATAGGAAAAATAAAAATCACCACACTCCCTGAAACCTCCAGTAATAGTTGTAATTAATTGGTGTGCTTCTCTCCTGTTATAAAAGTGCATTATTTAATGTGAACAGTTCTATGTGAAAAGCCAGCGGGCCCACCATACCTGATGAAGAAATGGGCAAGAAACAGAATCTATGTAGTATGTAAGCATTTCACTTTGTATCCTAACAAGGTCAGCTGGAGTGCCACCCCACACCCCGTGGAGGTCACCTGTACACTTCTCCAAATGACAGGACCACTGGAACACCTGCACCAACTCAGGCTCTAGAACCAGGTGGGAAGAGAGACTGAAGAAGCTTGCGATGTGCAGCGGTGTCCTTACCGAAATCATGTTGCCGATGATACAGCTGTACAACTTGATGATTTCGTCCTTCTCCAACTTCTCATCCGCCATATGTGTGTTGTAGATGAGTCTTAGCTGCATGAACGTGGCTATCAGAAACTGGTCAATATGGCCAGACATAGCTTCAGCTTTGTCTTCCTGTCTCAGGACCTCATCAATCTGGTAACAAAAATCCAAGATGTATTTTCCAAGCTTCATATTTCAAAGTAGCAGTCAGATATAAGGGGTGTCTCTGTAATGTTAGCAAAGCACTTCCAGTATCTTTACATATAAATAACTAGTCCTTAGGGGTTCAATGATTCCAGGAAACTTTACTGAGCAAGATACTGTAGGTGAATTAGTTGCAGCTTCCATGGTCTCTCACTGTCTAGTTCAGGGAATAATCCCTATGTTTAAATGTCTATTTTATTAGAATGCTTTTATACCCATATTTCATAATCACTCCGACAGCTCTGAGAGGCAGACAGGCTGAGAGTAAGATCTCCATTCACCGGGTGAGAAAAGGGAGGCTCAGCAAGATCAGACCACGTCGCTCAAACTCAACACTCAGGCTTCCCACACCTTGATTCGGTGTTCTTTTCGATTTGATACACTGGTTGTCACCAATGGAAAACTGTTACCCTGGGGAAAGTATTTATTTCCTATTCACTACTGTGAAAAGATCTTTATCTTTATGATTACGTAGTAACACCTTGAGACAATCCTGTCAGTCTTCAGTGATCGTCCTTCGTGGTCGGCAAAGCTGCACAACCCTGATGGGGGGCACGGGGAGCATTTATACTACAGGACACAGTGCAGATGGTGTCCCCTGGTATTGACGAAACCAGCGGTCCTACTTCCATTTACCTCTTCGGGCATGTATACCTGCAAGCGTATACTATTTTATATGACTGGGACTTTTCAATAATGCTGCTTCAACACAGCTACTATAAAAAATACTTTTTTTTGGGGGGGGGCTGCTCTTTTTCCAAGGTAATTACTATTACCAGCCTAGTACATCGTCGTTCACGTTCACAGAATCATACACAGCCACACTGGCACACATACACAGGGTCAAGGTTTAGGGCACTGTTTATTCTCCAGAAGTTGTAGTATAGAGTTCTCTGCATCTAGCTTTTCTAACTCGACAGAAAATTACGAAAATCCCTAAGGTGAACAGGAATATAGGCGTACCTTGTTTTATCAAGCTTTGCTTTACTGTGCTTCACAGACGAAGGCAAGACCCTCTACAAGCAAAAAGGTCATGACTCACTTTACCACAATCCTCCCTTTACTGCAGCAGTCTGTAACTAAACCCACAGCAGCCTGAGGTTGGCCCGTGGTTGTTCTTTATTTTAAAGATTTTACTTATTTTTAGAGAAAGGAAGGGAGAAAGAGGAGAAACGCCGACTGTGGTGTTTGCAGTGTGGTTGCCTCTCACGCACCCCGCACTGGGGACTAGCTGGCAACCCAGGCATGTGCCCTGACTGGGAATCCCAGCAACACTCAGTCCACTGAGCCATGCCATCCAGGACCATGTCTTTGTTTTTACCTCTAGAAGAAAGAGTCCCAAGAGCCTGACTTCTTGGTCTGAAGGACAAAGTATTTTAAATTATGGTATAATAGATATTACTATACTGCTTTCTTTAAAAAGATACTAACACATATTCACATTTCTTTTTTTAAATTAAAAATTTTTTCATTGATTTTAGAGAGAAAGGAAGAAAGGGGATGGGAGAGAGCCAGGAAGAACTGGGAGAGACGGGGGGGGGGACGGGACGACAGCGACTGGTTCACTGACTCTGCATGTGCCCTGACTGGGGACGGAACCTGCAGCCCTGGTGTGTAGGGACGATGCTCCAACCCGCTGAGCTCCCTGGCCAGGGCTCTAAAACAGCTTCTATATTTATTATTTTAAAAATCCACTTCATGAAGTTTAGCTTTCTTATTTCTTACTTTAAAATTCATTTTATTTTTTACTACATTCCTTTATTTTAGCCTTTCTTCAGAAATACATGTGTTTCAGGCAATGTTTCTGAGCCCAGGAGTCTCAGTGTGGTGTTAAAGGAAGTGCTTTCCTATTCGCCATGAAGAATTTTTTTTTAAAGATTTTATTCATTTATTCTTTTTAGAGAGGAAGGGAAGGAGAGAGGGAGAGAAACATCAATGTATGGTTGCTTCTGGTGCATCCCCTGTTGGGAACCGGCCTGCAACCCAGGCATGTGCCCTGACTGGGAATCGTCTGCTTCGCAGGCCCGCGCTCAGCCCACTGAGCTACACCAGCCAGGGCCGCTATGAAGAATTTTGATTATTTTTCTTTTATCAAGGGGTCTCTTAGGAAGGTGTTTCATGATCCTTGAGTAGCCAATATTTTTGTAATATTAACATTATTTAGTAAACATTTTGTTGGGTTTTCAGTAAAGTCTTTGGTCAGTATATCCTTTGCTTTTTGCGTTTGTTAATGTTTTCTTTGTGGTCATAGATTTTTAAAAAATGTTCAATCAAGATACAAAATAATAAACGATCTTTTCAGACATTGTGTAATTCTCTCTACATATAGTATATTAGTTATATCTGGTTATTTATTAATATTCTTTTTATTGAGGTTTAATTTTCACAGGGTATGATGTACAAATCCTAAGAATACAACTTAATGTTGTGTAATTCTGTAAGTGTACATGTGTCCATGTGCCCACCACTGCAAACAAGCTGCAGGACATCCATAGCCCCCAAAGGCCCTTCCAGCCCCCACAAGTCAGCACCTGGTCCCCCGACCAGGGGTTATTACTATCCTTCCCAGTTTATCTTTCTTTTTTCATTACTACTCTGATCTCTAAACTGATAAAATGTTCTCCTGGCCCTGACTAGTGTGGCTCCGTTGGTTGGACAGCCTCCTGCAAAGTGAAATGTTGCTGGTTTGATTCTTGGTCAGGATCCAGGCCTGGGTTGCAGGTCCTGTCCCTGGTCAAGGCGCATATGAGTGGCAACTGATCGATGTTTCTCTCCCTTTCTCCCTCCCTACCCTTCTCACACACACACACAAAAAGTTCTCCTCTAAGTTTCCCCTCTAATATCTAGATCTTTAATCTCTTTCAAATCCATTTTGGTACAGAAAATAGCAATCTGATCACACTGTTGTGCCCATTACTGATTAATCTAGCTTTAATTTTTTTAATTTATTGATTTTAGAGAGAGAGGTAGAGGAAGGAAGGGGTGGGAGGGAGACAGAAACATCAATCTGTGGTTCCACTTACTGATGTGTTCACTGGTTGCTTCTTATATGTGCCCTTGACCAGGGCTAATCTAGTTTTTGACAAGAGATTTTTAATGCCTCCTCTGCTTTGAGTTTCCTAAACATGGGGGTTGATTTCTGGGCTCTTTGTTCCAGGGACAGCCCAGGGGTATGGTCAGGACGGTTGAGATGCTTATCCTGGGGCCCATACTATTTATACCAGCTTAAGTAAGGTGGCTCCACTGTTGGTACTGGTGATGTAAGTCCTCTTCACCGTTTTTACTTTCAAAAATGGTCTTAGAACATAGTAGATTTCCATTTATTTAAAAATTTTCTAATATCATTCAACACAGCTTTATAATTGTCTCTGTAAAGGTCTTACACACACTACTTGATTTATTCCTAGAAACTTTGCTATGTCCTCTTCCAACCGTGTTGTCTGACAAGCTCAGGGCATGGAGGAGTCGAGTTCAAGGAATTCATCTCCCCAGAAGAGAACGTGGCATCCAAAATGGGTTAACAATTGGCTGTTTTATTTTAATTATTTTACTCTTGCTACTAAATACAGACATTATACTGTGCTTACTTATTTCTGTGAAAATCTCCCAAGAGGAAGGGACAGTTCAGGGGAAAACATTAGTATTCCCCACGGAACTGCCTGAAAGATGGAAAAATCTCCACAGATTCCCCTCTCCCTTATACAGGGGAGTATGACAGCCAGGGTAATATAATTGTTAACCATAAGGGAAAACATGTCAAGTTGTATGAATTACCCTGGTTTGAGCAACTTAAAGCGATCAGGACCGCCATGGTGTACCAGAAATAAGAAAAATAAGTTAGATCTCTTAAATCAACAGTTAAGGCCAGTTAATAAAGAACCAGGTTGTTGTTGCAAACACAGGTTGTGCTGCCAACAATTGAGGGAAGAACAGATTAGAAAGACTTTCCCACACCTGTTCCTTACCCACAGATACAAAGAGTCTTCCAAGAAGACAAGTAAAAACTATATACCCCCTACCCACAGCCCAGGGATACGGTCGGGACGGTTGAGATGCATCTGTAAGGCAGAGGCAACTGTGGCTGGATTTCCTGTCTATCTCTCCTTACATGTTTGTTTGGGTGATCAAAAGGTGGTGGAATTGTTAGACACTTGTATTTCAGGTTCATTGATTAGCATAATTCCAATGAAGTTGTACAAAATAATTTCTTGACCGGAGAACAAAATCCCCTCTAATGAAATAGCTCCTAAATGTCTAAAAGTTGATAGAATAATAGCCCCCCCTTTACCTTGAATAAGAATATGTATCAATTATACAGGCAAAGAAATAACAAAAGCTGGCTAGTTATTACAAACTAAACACATAGAAACAGTTACTAAAGAGTCAGAGTTTGTAGTACACAGAGAAACATTTTAGACAGGAAAGGATAGATAGCTAAGTCAGACATCACAAAGGCCTTATAATAAATCTCCTACTACCTCTACTCAATCTAGCATATCCTTTTGCCCCATGACAAATTCTGAGAAAACTTTAATATACAATAAGACATTCAAATTCTGTACATACGGCTATTTCTAATTGTCTGATTTATGGCTCTCCTGGTCAAAATAATCTTTGTTTATTATAACTGAATCTATGGGAACTTTTGTATTTTTCCTGGTTACCTTTGTATTAATTTTTTCTGCCTAAAATGAAAATATAAAAACCTGCTTTAAACTTGCAATAAACGGAACAGAGCTTCACTGTCCTTTGAGGCATGTTGTCGTCTGTTACCCATCACCGACGCCTTACCCACCTTTCGGGAACCCCTGGACCCTGCTGCAGCCGGACCGTGGCAAAACTTAACTTTTTTGTTGCTGAGGAATTTATCTTTTAATTTTTTTATTATGCTACAACATATAACAAAATTTATCATTTTAAGTGTATAACCCAATGGCATTAAGTATAACCAGCATCACTATCTATTCCAGAAGTTTTTCAACATGCAAAACAAACTCTTTTTCTCCTTCCCAACCGCCTGATAACCTCTATTCTGTTTTCTGTCTTCATGTATTTGACTACTCTAGGTACCTCATGTAAGTTGAATCATACAATATTCGTCCCTCTGTGTCTAATTTATTTTACTTAGCATAATGTTTTCAAGGTCCATCCATGTTGTAGCAGATATCAGAATTTCATTCCTCTTCATGACTGGATAATAACCTGCTGCATGTATATACCACTTATTACTTCTCTGTTCATCTCCTGATGGACACTTGGGTTGTTTACTCCTTTTGTTTATTGTGAGTAATGCTGCTATGAACTTTGTACACAAGTATCTGTTTGAGTCCCTGTTTTCTAAGAGTGACTTGGCTATCTTATCATAATTTGATGTTTAACTTTTTGAGAAACCACCAAACTATTTTCTACAGTGCTTGCACCATTTTATGTCCCCAGAGCAATGCACACAGATTCCAATTTTTCCACATCCTCACCATGCTTACCTCCCCCCTCCCTTTAAATCCTAATGTGTGAAGCTGTTATCTCACTGTCATTTTGATCTGCACTTCCCCAACAACTAATGATGGTATCTTCATGTGTTCATTGGCTATTTTTATATCTTCTTTAGGAAAATGTATATTCAAGTTCTTTGCCCATTTATGAACTGTTTTTTCTTTTTCTTTTTACTTTTTCTTCTCATCGAGTTGAAGGGGTTCTTCTTGTATTCTGGATATGATCTTTTATTAGATTAAGATTATATGCAAATGTTATGATCTGCAAATATGTTCTCATTCTGTAGGTTGGCTTTTCACTCTCATAACAGTGCCTTTGATGAATAGAATTTTTTAACTTTGAAGTTCCACTTAATTATTTTCTGTTGCTGTCTGCACTTTTGGTGCCACAGCCCCACAATCACTGCCAAGTCCAGTGTGAAGGTTTCCCCTATGCTTTTTTCTAAGAGCTATAGTTTTGGCTCTTACATCCATGTCTTGGACCCATTTTCAGTTCATTTTCATATATTATTAGAGCCCAACTTCATTCCTCTGTGGGTGGATAAACATTTTTCCAGCATCATCTGTGCAAAAGACTGCCATTACCCCTTGTCATTCAGACCACTGACTTGGCTTCCGTAGTGATCATCATCTCCTGCAAGGCAACTGCTGGTCTCCGGTCCTCTCCATGCCAAGCGCCAGTGAGCTTATGTCTATTACCTCTAACACACATCTGTACCACACGCACACATGCATACATCTATACTGGTATTTACCTCTGTATCTGCAGACTGAAAACCATGACTTCATACTGATGCATCTATTTCTGGTCCAACAGCAGAGTTCACTCTATCTGCTTTCCTCCTGTATTTGTTTTGCTGTTCTCAGACAGTACGAAACTTGGCCAATCCCTTTGTATGTAATCAATCTCCCATCTCTGCCATCGGCTCGCCCCCATCCAGATGCCCACCGCTGCTTTGGCTCTGACTGCCCATTCTGAGCCACTGGCCTGCTGCCCTGCCTCTCTCCGGCACACGTGTTTGCCCTGCTCACGCTGTGTGGGGCTCTGCTACCGTGCCGGTCAGGCTGTCTGCGTGGACGTCCTTTTCGCTGGCTCGGGCTCCGAGACCACCGCACTGGGCCACTATGGCCTCACCTTCACTCCCTTGCCACAAGATAAATGCCTACCTTGCTCTACCCACCTACTGGCTTTAGAAGTGGACTATCAGGGAAGGAAAGCGGAGGAAGAAGAGAATGATTTTTAAAAAACATGTAGTTTCCTTATTTAAATATTTCTAATGGCTTCTCATCTCACTTAAAATAATATCCAAACAACTTACTGTGGGGCTTTAAAAAAATTTTTTTAAATCCTCACCTGAGGACATTTTTTTCATTGCTTATACAGAGAGGCAGGGAAAGAGAAACACTGACATGAGAGAGAAACATCGATTGGTTGCCTTTTCGTACACACCCTGATCAAGAATCAAACTCACAACGTGGGTAACCGCCCTGACCAGGAATTGAACCCACTACCTTTTGGTCTATGGGAAGTGCTCTAATTAATGAACCACACCAGGCAGAGACCTTGGGGCTTTTAAAGCTCTCTGTAGTCTACTCTCATGCCATAGCATTCTCTCCCTTGCCCACTGGGCTGTGAGCACATGGGCCTTGTAGTGTTTCCTTGAACATCTAAATTCACTCCCACACTCTATAGAGCCTTCATACTAGCTGTTTGCTCTGCTTGAACCCCTGACCACCAATCTACGTAACTACTTAGTTCCTTTCTCCAATCATCGCATTTGAGTTATATTTATAGTAGTTAGCATTCTTAGATACTTTCTTATTTATCTATTTGTCTCTGTCCATTAAAATCTAAGTAAGTTCCCCAAGAATTGGTCCCTATTTACTCACTGCTGTATCCCCAGCCTCTGGTGAATGAATGCAACTGTACAGAGCAAGGCTCTGTGAGAGCTGCATCCTGTGGACCAAGTGATGACTGAGCGGTCCCTCTGCACTTTCTTCATCGCCACGGCGCTGACTGCTGCCGGTATGCAACCATCACGCCTACAGCGTTTAGATCCACCAGTGGCATTAATGTCATGGGTAATACCCCCATTACCTGGGTCAGAGCTTGGATGCTTGTGCTGATGTCACCACTGGCTACTTGGGAGATAATGAAATTGATTGTGGATGCTGTATTACTGTGCATGTCATCAAAGTGTGGAGAAACAGCCCGGATCCTAGAGAGCAGAGCAAAAGGACAAATTCAATCTTTATTATAAGATATCCCAGTGAGTTGGAAATATATGCAATTCCCCACTAGATCCAGGTCTTAGAGAAGAACTGCTAACTGCTAGGTAGTAACCAGTTCTAAAAAGCTCTAACTGCAGAGAGAGCGTGCTTTTCACCCCCACACTCTGATGGTTATGAACTGCTCACCCTTAAATGAAAGAGGCTAACTTACTTGGGTTCAGGAATAAGGACCGGCTCAAAAATGTCATCCAGTTTGTGCTGCACAAGTTCTGGCATTTCACAGCGGACTGTACCGTTGTCGTTCTCGATCTCATCGAGATCTAGCTGAAATTCTCGGCGCACCATCTGGGCCGCCTCGGGATGCCCGCTCATGCTCCGAGCTTGGCTAAGGAAGCAAAAAGAGACTCCTGAACTAAGAGAGACTTCTTAACCAAAGGGCAAGAGTAGCTCTGCCAGCTGCCCCACAGCTTCAAGACAGATGTTCAACTTCTGGTTTCAGCCCCCCTGGATGATTTAAGCCTGAGGCTAAGCCAGTGCCTTCAACGGGCAACAATACTGGTTCATTAATATTCTGAGAGCAGACTACTTTATTTTCTACTTGTAGTACCTGCCACATTGTACATATTCTTTCCAGTTCACTAAAGCCAACAAACTTTGTACTGTTATTCCAGATGGGGCAGAAAATAATAAAGTACACTTATATTGACTCAAAGCTTACTACTTCTGGCAAAAATTTAAGAAAAATCTGAACTAGCTGGTTCTCCTCTACCAAATAAACCAGTGTTTAAGTTTTTCTAATCATAAGCATCATTCCTTGCAGTATGTTTTACACTTTGGGGGACAGTCAGCCACCAATTTTTATTTATTCTTGACTGATTAGAGCCAGAATTATATCCAAGAAATAGATATTCAAAGATTCCAAATTCAAATTGGCCGAAACATACTCATGATACAACCGAAAACAGAGCTGTCTACCTTAAAAGGCAGTATGTCGAGTCCCTAAACCCGTTCTGGATGGCAGACATTTTACTCAGCTTTGTCTGAAGAACAGGAACCTGAGTGTGACCAAATGCGTGGTGCAGAGAAGAAGGCGAATCAGTATATTTAGGCACATGACATTAAACTGCCACTTCTGCTAGCCAGTGCACTTTCATGAAAGGCTGGATTCGTGGGATACTTATGAACACTCTGTACCCTGGTTACAAATTCTAAGCCAATCACCCTCCAGAGGGGATGAATCCAAGGCAGAAGTTAGAAAGATATAAGAGCCCTGCTAATGAGAAATTAGCAGGCAGTACTTACATCCTATAAGTGCGATACATAATTCTGTCCACGGAAAAGCAGTGAAAGAAGGCACAAGACTATTTAGAAGTGGTTTAGAGACAAAGACAAAGACAATGAAGACTGAAGAATTAAACATCTGGTTACGAGACATTTACTCAGACACTCCATCATGCATGATAATGGCTACAAGAATGCAAGATCCATGTTTCAGGATAAGCTTTGAGCACACAAGGCCAAGTCCACAGAGATGCTGTCAGATGACAATCTCCATCTACATACTTGAGTTTAGAGGACATGTCCTCAGCCGGTCCCTTGCGCAGCATGTTGGCATTGGAGCTTATGCTCTGTGTGCGCTGAGGTTTCTCTTCTACCTGTTTCATTGGTGCTGCAGATGGCCTCTTTGCTGACCGCTTAATCCTTTCCTCAAGCATGCTCATATCCTTTTCAGAAAGCTGTAAGAAGAGGCCAAATTTAATTTATTAGCATAGCTCTCTACTATAGTGTGAGGAAAATAAAAACACCTAATTAACTGGAAAACTCAAGAATTAATATCCATTTTCATATTAAAGCAAACAGAATTTGCTATGTTAAGATATACTTACTTTCACCCCTGGCTGGTGTAGCTCAGTGGATTGAGCACAGGCCTACAAACCAAAAGGCTGCAGGTTTGATTCCCAGTCAGGGCACATGCCTGGGTTGTGGGCCAGGTCCCTGGTGAGGTGCACGTGATAGGAAATCACACACTGATGTTTCTTTCCCTCTCTTTCTGAACCTTCCCTTCCCCTCTCTCTAAAAATAAATAAATAAAATCTTTAAAAAAAAGATACATTTACTTTCAAAACACTGTCTACAGCCCTAGCTGTTGTGGCTCAGTGGATTGAGTACTGGCCTGCGAACCAAAGGGTTGCCAGTTTGATTCCCAGTCAAGGCACATGCCTGGGTTGTGGGCCAGGTCTCCAGTTGGGGGCATGCAAAAGTCAACCACACATTCATGTTTCTCTTCCTTTCTTTCTCCCTCCCTTCCACTCTCTCTCTAAAAATAAATAAATAAAATCTTTAAAAAAACTATCTACATTTAATTTATTTTTTTAAAATGATTTTATCTGTTTTTGGATAGAGGGGAAGGGAAGGAGAGAGAGGTGGGAGAGAAACATTGAGGTGAGGAAGAAACTTTGATTGGTTGCCTCTCATATGCTCCCCAACCAGGGACCAAACCCACAACTCACGTATGTGCCCGGACTAGGAATCAAACTGGTGATCTTTTGCTTTGTGGAATGACACCCAAACAGCTGAGCCACACTGGTCAGGGCACTATCTACATGTTTTTGTTTTTGTTTTTTAAAGATTTTATTTATTTACTTTTAGAAAGAGGGGAAGGGAGGGAGAAAGACAGAAACATCAATGTGAGAGAGAAAGGCACTGGTTGCCTTCTATAGATGTCCTGACCGGAACCAAACCTGCAACACAGGCATGTGTCCTGACCAGAATTTGAACCAGCAACCTTTCAATTTGGAGGCCACCACTCAGTTCACTGAGCCACATCAGCTAGGGCACTACTTACATTTTTAAATCAAATATTCTTAAAGTCTCCCTTGCTATAAGAATAGAACATATGAAAGAAGAAAGGGATATAAAAGTAAAGGCTATTAATAACTACAAATAAAAAGATAAAAAATTAAATGAAGTACCCTCATTTTTGCAGTTACCACTAGCTGACTGTATGACTATGGGCAGGAAGCTTTTGGTCCTCTGTGAAATCCCATCTGCTTTACCTCCTTCACTGGCCTACAGTGAGGATTTAATTAGATTAACACAAGTAAAGGTATATAGGCACAGTGTAAATATATGCGATGCTACGAGGTAACACAGGAGTGAAGAGCTGAGGTCCAGCCGCAACACTGACTGGATCGGAGGCGGTAAGGAGTTGGAAGCAGAACTCTGGCTCACGGCTGTAGCTCAAGACTTAATGTGACAGGCACCAGTATCATATTACACACAAGTTCACTAAAAACGAAATGCACTAAAATGTACAGAACAGGTTGTCAGGTAGAATTAAAATCCCAGACGAGCTCAGATTTGTTGATTCGAAAATAACTCATTTCTAAGGAAACTGCTACAAACAGAATACTGAGAAAAAAATCTGATTTTCAGTCAAACACAGCCTAAATGTCCTAAATAATCAGAAAGAAACACCCTCTAGGGTTTACTTGGATTTTAAGACTCACTGATAGGTTGAATTCATTAAAAAGTGGTAAGAACTTTAGAGTTGAGATGGCTTGAAAACTGACACCTAAGAGACCCTGTAATTCACAACATGCTGACAATATTCAGAGAAAAGCCACTTACAGTTCCAATGAGTTTGAACACCTGATCCCCATGCACATTGTACACCGTGACGATGGTGTTGAGGGCAGCGTTGCGCACAGCGTTGTCTCGGTCTCCTATGTGAATCGCTATCTCCTTTAAGGCTTTTCCTGCAGTTGGTTGGCAAACGTTCATGCCATAGGACTCGACCAGACACCCCAGTTCTTCTAGGCACTCTGATGGGGGAGAAAGGCTACATTAAGGAGACTCAATGCACATCTGGCGCAGAGACTTATCTTCACTAGATACATTCCCTCTTGGCATAAATGAAGGACTAAAATCTTATCCTGGCTCTGCCTATAATTTTTCCTCATTTACTACCTTCTTATAAAATACACAATGAAACAATGGTGTTAAAACAAGTGCTTCCAGAAGAAAGGGATGCCTGTGAGTCAGATGGCCCCTGTGCACCTGATTTTGTCACCAGGGTGGTACTGAGTAGTGCCCGTATCACTGATACTGTGGCTCCACCAGTGTGCAACTCATCACTCTCACAGTCCAGATTGGGGGGGTTGGAGTCAACCACACAAACACTGAAGACATTTCCTTGTTCTAGTATAAATTATTTCTTTTTGAGGTCACTGCTACACAGACTCATGCCTCAATTTAAATTGTTGCTTCACCTGCTCTCTGTTTTGAATTTTTGGATTTGGTTCCTTCCATGATGAAGGGGAACATCTTGCTGGCTGGGTAGACAAGGCACATCCGGTTCAGGATGGCACGGACATCTTTACGAATGACATCCTTTGGTTCTCCAACCTAGTCAACATAATAATTAAGTGAGGTGTTTTCCAAAAAGCAAAGGTTCGCCCCCTCCCATACATGCATCACTAGATCTTAAAAGAATAAGGGCATGGAAATGAGTGGTGGAAATTATATCATATAATAAACAGAAAGGGATATGGAATAAAATACAGAATCTGAGGTCAGCTGGAAACTTGAGCAGTCTTCCAGAGTAAGAAAAGCACATTACCTTTAGGATGAGATAGGGGATGAAGGAAGATGCTTCATTCTCAGTAAGATGATACTCTTCCTCACTTAGCAGGGTGAAGAGCAATTTTAAATATTCTAGGGCTTTCATTAGGACACTTGTGTTGGTATCAAAAAACCGCAGGGTAAGCCACTTCAAGATAAGATCCAGGCAACCAATGACACCCTCTTTTTCACTCTCCAAGTGCTTAAAACAAAACAAGACAACCCCCACAAATAAGTCTGTATAAAACTTTAAGTTCTATTATTAGGCAACTACCTCGTAAATTTTACTAGAGTCCAAAAGAAAACTGAGAGATTTGTAAGCCTCCATTTGAGACCTAAAATTATAAACGTACAGTCATTTTTTCCATCAAATAATACGACAGCTCTAAAAATACAGAACATGATGTATTCCAGTTCCTTCTCCCTTCTCAAGTCATGCAAACTTCCAATTATTTCACAGGGCTCAGTGTTTCCACATGTAAGAGGCAGGTGCAGATTTATCTACTGCAAACTTACATCAACCATAACAGCAAGGGCTTTGTTATGATGCTGAAAGTCTGAGTGAAACATCTCATCTTGTAACCACTTAGCCACACAGCTAGACATCTGAGTCTTCAGTTGCTCAATGTATTCATCCCTTGGAGTAGTGAAATTCCACTTCAGCACCTGAAAAACACCAGTGGAAAGGGTCTGGAAGGTGTTCAACTGAAATGAGGTACAGAACTCTATTTAAAGCAGCTGTAGGAAACTATTTAATAGAATATTTTAAAATTTAACAAGGTTAATTTGTAATTAAATATGAATGAAAATGTATTCTCAAGCTAACATATCTCTGGAAGCTTAACTCTGAAAATCATCTAGGAATATAATTTTTGACAATTCTTATTTTCTAGAAAAGTCATGCTCTTTTATTATATAACATGTTGGACCCTGTTGGTACAACTTTAAAAATGGGAAAAACTCAAATATCAAAATGTAAAATATACATACTTTTCTAAGAATTTAATATTAACACATACTCACATATGTACATAAACACCGCCTTTGGAAATGCTTATGGCACTATAGTTTATAATATGAGAGACTAGAATGTTCAACGTCGTGAGTTGGGAATAAAGGAAGGTACATATACATATGCTGTACTGATAAAAAGAATGAATGCATATATGCATGCAGATATGATCTTCAAGATATTTCAAATATTATTATTAAAAAGATATAGAGCAAAGAGTATGGTATGTTCCCATTTGTGCAAAAGGAAGGCTGTATATTTAAACACTTATGATTGTATAGGTATAGAATATTAATATGTCTGGAGTAATATACAAAAAGCTGGTAATAATATGCTCCCTGTGGAGGGCGACTGGAATGGGAGGCATGCTTTTCAAACTATACTCTGAACTTTTTATACTGTTTGAATTTATATATATATATATATATGTTAAAAATCATTTAAAAAAATTATTTAATAAAATTAGAACATCAAAAGAGGAATGACTGATCGCTTCTCAGCCTTTTGGCTAAGATCAAGTGTAAAAGAGGAATGACTGAAGTACATATATATGGTCACCAGTTTGTCTTATAAGGTATTCCGTGCAAGAAGATTAATGACTACTACATATGTAGAATTGATAAACATTAATGAATACTTTCCATTCTTTGATTCTAAAAGCTAAAACGACAACTTCTATTTCTTTCTGTTTGGAAGAACAATAGGCAGCAGCCCCATTCTAGTTTCTTTTGTAGGAATTAATGCTCCTATAAAGTAGTTTTATAGAAACAAGATATGATTTATAAACAAAAGGGTTAGTTTATTAGATACCCATTTCAGATAGCAAAATTACTTTTTTTTTTTCTTAATATTTTATTTTTATTTATCTTTAGAGGGGAAGGGAAGGAGAGAAACATCAATGTATGGTTGCCTTTCGTGCATCCTCTGCTGGGAAGTGGCCTGCAGGGAACCAGCCTGCAACCCAGGCATGTGCCCTGACTGGGAATCGAACTGCAATTGTCTGGTTCACAGTCCCACACTCAATCCACTGAGCTATACCAGCCAGGGCGCAAAATTACTTTTGAACAAAACATAAACAAGCAAAAAACTCCTGAGGAGCCTTATTCCTTCCTTACCTTTAATCCCTTTTCGTCTTTCATTCTTTGCTCCTTTCCATTTGGAACAACAATAAAAATAGGACCGGATTTGTCTTCATCCTCCTTTAAGCTGGTTTTGCTCGGCACTTTCTTCCCTTGTGCACTCTGCAGCCGTGGTTCAGAGAACACTGGTTAGACAGGCTACTGCTCCTTGGGATACAATGCTGCTGCCCAGGAAAAGGGCACAAAATGAACCAGAGACACCTCTCCTTATTGTATTCCACATGAAAGAAATGGATGGACCACAGAATCTTGCATATATCATGTTTCCGTACAGGTTTCCTAGAGATGTTTCTAATAACATTCTTACAGAACTGTTGGCTAGTCCTTGGATTGGCATGTATTGAACAACACAGTTAGAAAAGCTCTGTTATTGATCATTGGTCTGGGTCACAGAATATTTTTGTTTATCACACAGTTCACCTCACTTACTTGGAAAAGCTTTGCTGTTTCTCTCCATATACAATACATCTCTGTCATAGGATTATAACTGGAGACCCTTTAAACCTGTTTCTAGAGAAAGTTGCTAAAAACATTTTAAATACTTAAGTTACTACAGTGCTTTTAAAAAATAACTCAAGTTGTAGAATCTTTTTATCAGATTGAAAGAAATGAACACTTAGTACACATAGTTAAGATAATATTTCAGTTTTACTACTGGAACCATTGTTATTATAAGTGTAGCAAGAGTCAACTATTTCTAGTAGGCCAGTTGTTTTTTCTACTTCTAACACTAAAATCATTCAATCAAAACAAATATGAAATCATTTATGTGAAATTGCTTTATAATTGCCAAAGACTGGCACAGAAAGTATGGCATTAAGAACTGAGTTAAACATACTTCAAAGATCTTGTGATCAATATACTAAAATAAGCACTTGTTAAATCTGGGAGGAGGACAAGAGAAGAGCAGCTTCACTGGATTGCGTAGAAGAGCATTACCCACTTAAATTAACTCACTAAATTAAGGACCCACGCGTAGGGAAAGAAAACAAATAATTATAACATTTAGACCAATAGACACAGGGCATCTATTCTATAATGCGCGTAGAATAATAAATATACTGGATAATAAAACTGTTCCTAGTGTAATACATATTTATTATTAATTTATTTCTTACTGCCTAGTTATGCAGTTTTCCTTTTGAAAGTATTTAATAATACTCTGAATACAGGGATAAGCTCTGAATCTTGATACAGAAGCTTGTGACAATTTGCCGTGATTCAAAACTTATGTCCAACTCTGCGTGGATACTAAACGAATTGCTGATGTATCAAATTAAGTCCCATTGGTGTGGGGACAGAAAGTATTCCTTGTAGGCTAATCAGAACACCTACTAATGACCTAATTATGCCAAATTTGAAAGAAGTTAATTACCTTACATTTTGCAAATCAAAGTTGGCCTAAGTGCTTCTTCTGCCTGAACTACACAGGATTTTCTCTCTTCACTACTGCAAATCTTCCCCAAAGACCCGCATGGCAGAGACCATGGCAGCACCTCTGGGGAGCTGGGTGTCTCTGTCTTGGGACCTTATTAAAAAATGAGCCACAGAAATTTGTATAGGTAAGTACTTTATAATTTAATATCAAGAGTAGTAATGTTCTTTTATATATAATATGTATCAATTTCCTAGCAGAATGACTCTGTGTCAAACACACAGACAGAATTCTGTATCCAAGTATGAAGAGTGAGCATACCTTGGCTTTAGAGGAAACTCCTAGAGCTTTGGCCTTTTTCGGATCAGGCTTGGGTTCTACAGTGCTGGAGACAGAATCTTCAACAGGCACTTTGGGAAAAAAAGATGTACTATAAACTCTAATATCACTTTACTCTGGTCAGGTTAAATATATGATAATAAGAATGCCTACAACTTTAAATGTATCAATATAAAATGTTATATGTTATCAGTTACATTTTTCTCCAATCTTTTTTCTCCCTGACTTCCTCTTTAAGCATAACCTCAAGAAATTAATTCAATAAATTTACATCTGCTTTACCAACATTAAACTGCAATTAAAAAAAAACACCTATTTTCCAGCCCTGGCTGGTGTAGCTCAGTGGATTGAGCGCAGGCCTGCGAACCAAAGGATCACGGTTCGATTCCCAGTCAGGGCACATGCCTGGGTTGGAGGCCAATTCCCGGCAGAGGACCCATGAGAGGCAACCATACACTGATATTTCTTTCCCTCTCTCCTTCCCTTCCCCTCTAAAAGATAAATAAATAAAATCTTAAAAAAAAAAACCAACCCAAAACTATTTTCTAAATAGCAGTTAAAGAAAGCTTTTTGCTCGTTTGCTACTTCTCTTAGGGTCTGTCATCTTTGATACTTAGTATTTTCTACATAGCAAGATTCCAATAAAGTTGTAATTGAATACACACGCGTACACACACACACACACACACACACACTTTGATACAAACAGTTTTACACATGTAAAATTTCTAACTTTAGAGCATCAACAATTTCTATCCCACTAAACAGAATATTATTTTGTTTAAGCAGTAAGTCTAGAAAAGTGGTTACAGTTTAGAGTTTTATTTTGCATGATGGAATTTTAACATCAGGATGAAGAAATCAAGAATTTTCCCTTAAAGACAATTAGTAAATGTTAGAATGGATCAGTAAATGGTCAAGTGCAGAGGAAGGAGAACTCATCTGGGAATGAATACATGGAGTTCTGTGCTGGTTTAGGACTGGCTGGCTGTCTGGCTTTGTGCAAATCACTTAAACTTTTGGGTTTCCTCATCAGTTAATACAGGGGATTGAGCTAGATGGTCCCAATTCTCCCTCTAATTACTGAATAGCAGAAAACAGTTGTGGAAACCTTAAAGATAGGATGGAACACTTGCTTTCTGGAGTATTTCAATGAGCCACTCCAAAACTCCTTTTTAGACTTGGGAATAGATTAATCATCTTTGTACCTTCAGCGTAGTTCCTGGTATAAAATAGGTACTTGACAAATGTTTGTGAACAAAGGGTAAGGAGAGATGGAGACAGGGCTTGAGATCTAAGCCATGAGGAAATATGATAAAAAATGAAAGCTGGACTTCTTTTATTAGACTTCCTTTGGGCTAGTTTCTTCCCCTTTAACCCTCTCAAAAGAGTTACCTGAGGCAGGCTGAAATTTGGCTGGAGCTGACCCTCCCATTGGTTTGGAGGTTGCTTTAGCAGGTGCAGCAGGTTTTGCAGGCATGTTAACTTTGGCTTTCTCTAGCATGGCCAATACCTGGTCTTTAGAAGTTGGCTAGGAGGACAATATAACAGAAGTGAGAGGCCACATAAATGATACACTCATATCATTCTTATTAACAGATCTGCAGTTACACAAATCTTTGAGCTCTTAGTTTTGAAATACCAATGAAGCAAGCACATGGTACAAGAGAAATACCACACATTATGAAGTCACACTGAATTAGCTACCATTCTGGAAGGCCACATTCCTTGCACCGCCTCCCCGGCCCCCCGCGGGGTCAGTGGGTTCTAGTTCTACACTGTTAAACAGTTTATTTTTGCTCTCACTGGGATTTCAAATTGAAACTCCTAGCAGGTAATGTGACCTTTTGCCTCTATAAATTCATGTTCAATGTTTTTCTGATGGTTTTTAACAACAGCAGCGGCAGCAACAAGAAGTAGTACCTTTAGTTTCCCTGTAGCCTTGGCCATTTTCTCATATCCTAAATGCATCATGAAGAATGGTAAGGCATCTTGGGCCTTCTTTCGCACATCTCCATTGCGATCCTCCAGGCAGGAGTAGAGATGAGGAACACACAGGATAAGGTCTGTGGGGGTGGAACGAAGAGTCGGTAGTTTCTCAGCCAGCCAGCCCAGAAGCTACAAAAAGAGATAAATACTGGGTTACACTTCCAGTAGAAAACTGTTTTATGACCTCGGGTTTAAGGATTCCATCAGTACCAAACACAGAACTAGTTCTCACGCTACAATTTTTCCAGTATAAAGTCAGTAATTTTCATTAAGAACTGCTATATTTAAATAATATAAGCAAAGATGGCAATCTTCTTTAAGACAAGGACACAATTCTTTGGACCATACTTGGGCATTAAATTCTTAGTTCTTAATACATTTTAAAGATGAAAAACTTTCACTTGTCTTTTTTTTTTAATTCTAAGAACTATTCAGCTAAAGAAGACACAAAACATTTATTTGATCATAAGATGACAAGTTCTACTAGGGCTTCTGGTTTTATCCTTACGTCAAGTTTTTCTCTCAGCCTCTAAAATAATTCATATCTATACTTCTCATTCAAAGTTTTATTGAGATGATTACAGATTCACATAAAATTTTCAGAAGTAACACAGAGAGATTCCCATGCGCCCTACACTCAGTTCCTGTTAGGTAGCCTTTACGAAACTATAGTAGAGTATCACAACCAGAATCTCGACAGTGACAAAAGCCACTGATCTTATTCAGACTGCCCCAGTTTCAGTTGTTCTCATCTGTGGATGTGTGTACAGCCTATACCACAGGTGGCAAACACAGGGTGCCTGGGTCGAATCCAGCCCTCCTCATTTTATCCAGGTCCAGCACCTTGTTTCTACGCAGCAGCAGCACTGAGCTCTCACTTAACTGTGGAGTGGTTGCATTAATGCAGCCCTAAAATTACATTCGGCCCTTTGAAGGCAACCTCGAGGCTTGCCACGGTCCGGCCTCGGCAAATCTCAGGGTCCCTGAAGGATGGACGGCACAGGCGACGAATGAGGGGTCAACACCCGATTGGATGCGGGAGAAAAGCCAGCCTCTGTGGGTCTGACTGAACTCTCAGAGTTTAAGTTATATTTTTATAGAGATTATTACATAACATTAAAGGAGCAGGTCCATGGCATGATCAATTAAGCAGAAAAGATAAATGCAGAGGTAACTAGAAAAAGTACAGGAAATTCCACAGATTAAGTTATGTTAAACAACAAAGGTTATTTTGAACAGGAGAGTCATTAATCAGACAATTAGAGCTAGCTGTAGGTACAGAGCTTTTTTGTCCTGCTTTTTTTGATCTAATTCTACTTGATATATATTCCTGTCCAAGGTAGAGGAGGGGCTGTTATGTTACTCTTAATAAATAAATGTTACTCAATCTAAATACATTTTAGATGTTCAGGGGCTACCTCATTAGGGGGAACTTTGTTCTCTGGCCAAGAGATTATTTTGTACAACTTCATTGAAATTATGCAGATCATTGACCCTGAAATGCAAAATCCCACCACCTATTAATCGCAAAAACAAACACGCAAGGAGAGATAGACAGGAAAATCCAGGCACAGCTGCCTCTGCTATGCAGATGCATCTCATCCATCCCCTCTGTGTCAAGGGATGGCTGCTGGTTGGCTCCGGACAGAGGCTGATGTGGCCCCCAGTGAAATGAGTTTGACACCTCTGGTCTATATAATTTTACCACGTGTATGTTAGTCCACCCGCCACTTTGGTCAACAGGCTGAAGAGCTCCATCAAAAGCATCTCTTATGCCCCTTTTACAACCACACCCTTTTCCTCCCTCCCCCTCCCCTACCCACAGTCCCTGGTAACCATTAATTTTGTCATTTTAAATGTTTTACATAAATGGAGTCATACATTATATTACTTCTTGGGCTTGGTTTCTATTATTCAGTATAATTCCTTGAAGATTTATTTAAATTCTTGTATCAATAACTGTATCAATAATTTGTTCCTTTTATTGCTAAATAGTATTACACTTACCAACACAGAACAGTTTAACCATTCATTGGTGAAGGATATCTGGCTATTATAAGCTTTTTTTTTCTTTTAAAGATTTTATCTATTTACTTTTAGAGAGGAGAAGGGAGAAAGGAGAGAAACATCAGTTGTGAGAAATACATCGATTGGCCTCTCACATGCCCCCAACTGGGGACCTGGCCCTCAACCTGGCCCTGTGCCTGGGAATTGAATGGGTGACTTTTGGCTCGCAGGCCAGCACTCAATCTACTGAGCCACACCAGCCAGGGCATATTATAAGCTTTTTGGCTATCATGAATAAAGCTCTATAAACATTTGTGTATAAGTTCTTGTGTAAACATAAACTTTTCCTGGAATCAATTCCCAAGATAACAAGATCACAGTTTTTGGGTCACAGAGTAACTAATTACATGTTAGTTTTCTAAGAAACTGCCAAACCGTTTTCCAGAGTGGTTGTACCCTTTTACATTTCAACCAGCAGTGTTCACCTTTCTCTACATCCTTGCCAGAATTTGGTGTGGGCTTTTTTATTTTAGTAATTTTAATAGGTGAGTAGTAATATCTTATTTTAGTTTTAATTTGCGTTTCCCTGATAGTTAATAGTGTTGAACATCATTCATAGCTTATTTGCCATTTGCATCCTCCTCAGTGGAATGTCTGTTCAGGTCTTTTGCCCATTTTCTAATTAGCCTTTTTTCTACTGTTGAGTTTTTAGAGTTCTTTACTCATTCAGATTATAGTCCTTTATCAGCTATAGTTTGCAAATATTTTCTCTCATTCTGTAGCCTTGTCTTTTCATCTTCTTCACATAGACTTTAATAGGGAAAAGCTCCTAATTTTTGATGAGGTCCAATTAACCAATTTTTCTCTGATGGATTGTGGTTTTGGTATCAATTCTAAAAATTCTTTTCTTGAAGAACTTCTATATCCTGAAGGTTTTCTCCTATATTATCTTTAAAAGTTCTATAGTTTTGAATTCAACATTTAAGTTCATGATCCATTTTGAGTTCACGATCCATTTTGAGTTAATTTTGGTGTAAGATATGAGGTTTAGGTTAGGGTTTATTGTTTGGTCTATGAATGCCAATTGCTCCAGAATCAACTGCTGAAAGGCTATCCTTGAATTCTTTCATCAGCATTCTATAATGTTTAGTATACATACTCTACATTTATTAAATTTGCATATTTAGAAGATTGCACTTTCTTTGGAGCGACTGTAAATGGTATTATTATCTTTTTAATTTCAGTCTCCACATGCTCATTGTATTGTAAATAAGTGTGACTGATTTTTGCATGTTGATTCTGTACCCTGCAATCTTATTGAATGTAATTATTAGTTTCTAGGAGTTTGTGTTGTAGATTCCTTTGGACTTTCTATGTAGACAGTTGTCATCTGCAATTATAGATAATTTTATTTATTCTTTATCCAATCTATATAATTTTCACTTGTTCTTGCTTTGTTGCGGTGACTGGAACTTCCAGGAGTAGGCTAAATAAACAGCAGCGATGAGAGTGGATATTCCTGTCTTGTTCCCAGCCTGAGGGGAGAGCACCCAGGCTCTCAGCAGTACGTACAGTGTTGTATAGGGAAGTTTGTGGAAATGCCCTCTATCAAGTTGAGGTGATTCTCCACTTCTATTACTAACTTGATGAGAGTTGTTGTTGTTGTTTTTTAATCATGAATGGGTGTTGGATTTTCTTGAATTACTTTTCTGTATCAATTGATATGATTTTATGATTTTTCTTAGTATTTAGCCTGTTGGTATAATGGATTACATTATAAATTTTAAAAATATTAACTCCCTTTATTAATAGAAATTTTATTATTTTGTTGATTATGCCATTACAGTTATCCCCTTTCCCTTCATTCCCCTCCACCCTGCATACCCCCCCACCCACATTCCCCCACTTTAGTTCATGTCCATGTGTCATAAGTTCTTTAGCTTCCACATTTCCCCTACTACTCTTGCCCTACCCCTTTCTATTTTCTCCCCACTGTCTATGCTATTTATTCTCTGTAACTTCTCCCCCATTCTCCTCCTCCCACTCCCCTGTTGCTAACCCTCCATGTGATCTCCATTTCTGTGATTCTGTTCCTGTTCTAGTTGTTTGCTTAGTTTGCTTTTGTTTTAGATGTGGTTCTTAATAACTGTGAGTTTGCTGTCCTTTCACTGTTCATATTTTTTAACTTCTTTGTCTTAGACAAGACCCTTTAACATTTCATATTATAAGGGCTTGGTGATGATGAACTTGAACTTGACCTTATCTGAGAAGCACTTTATCTGCCCTTCCATTCTAAATGAAAGCTTCTTGGATGTAGGTCCTTGCATTTCATGACTTGGAATACTTCTTACCAGCCCCTTGTTGCCTATAAGGTCTCTTTTGAGAAATCAGCTGACAGTCTGATGGGAACTCGTTTGTAGGTGACTGTCCCCTTATCTCTTGCTACTTCTAGAATTCTCTCCTTCATTTTAATCTTGGCTAATGTAGTTATGATGTGCCTTGGTGTGTTCCTTCTTGGGTCCAACTTCTTTGGGACTCTCTGAGCTTCCTGGATTTCCTAGAAGTCTATTTCTTTTGCCAGACTGGTGAAATTCTCCTTTATTATTTGTTCAAATAAGTTTTCCACTTGTTGCTCTTCCTCTTCCCCTTCTGGTACCCCTATTATTTGGATGTTGGAACGTTTAAAGATGTCTTGGAGGTTCCTAAGCCTGTCCTCATTTTTTTGAATTCATTTCTTCATTCTTTTCTGTTTGGTTGTTTCTTTCTTCCTTCTGGTCCACTCCATTGATTTGAGTCCCAGTTTTCTTTCCATCACTCAATAGTTCATTTTTCTTCATTTCACTTAGCATAGCCTTCATTTTTTCAACTAATTTGCAACTAAAATTAACCAGTTCTATGAGCATACTGATCACCAGTGTTTTGAACTGTGCATCTGATAGGCTGGCTATCTCTTGGTTGCTTTGTATTGGCTCTGGGGCTTTGATTTGTTCTTCTGTTTGAGCCATAATTTTTTGGTCAGGTCACACCTGCTATGTATGAGTGGCGAAGCCTTAGGTGTTCACCAGGGCAGGCCAACCAGGTCTCTGGTTTGTGACAATGTATGTGGGGGTGGGGTCAGAGAGGGAGCAGTGGTGCTTGTTCTGCTCTCTCTCAGATTTCGGTCCCCTCTGCCACTTCCCACAAGCAAACTGGGACCTTCTGGTGCTGGTTCCCAGGTGGGTGGGCTTGTGTACGTTCAAGGACCCTGTAGGTCTCTCCAACTAACTCTCCTGTGAGGCTGGGAGCCTCTCCCAGCACCTCAACCACCGAAAGTTTTTCCAATCAGTGCTCTTAGGCTTTATTTCCTGTAGCTGGGGCTCGAGGTTGTGCAGTCTGTCTCACTGCCCTTTTTTTTGCCCGGTTTATCTGTGAGAAAATGTATGTCCTTGGTCAGCCAGCAGCCTTGCACACCTCGTTTCCTCCCGCACCCAGGTCTGCCAACCATCACCTCTTCCTGCCGGGACCCCTCTCCACCGGCTGCCGACTCTGCTCCTCTTACTGGTCTGGATGTATGGTTTGTTGTTATCAGACTTCGGTACAGTTCAATTTTCTGTCTGTTCTGGTTGTGTATTTGTTTCTAAATCTTTGTTGTCCTTAAAAGTGGTTGTGCAAGGAGGTACGGTATTTCCATCTACGCCAGAAGTGAATGTTAACTCTATTTTTATGTTCTAATTAAAACCTCTTAATTTTACTATTTAAGAGTTACGGAAAAGAGAAAATTTCACAAAAAGGCTAGTCCTTGAAAAAATTTTATTGTTAAAAAAAAAGCACAAGAATACAAATGCTCCAGAAATTTGGTTTCATTTTATTAACTGTTTTATGATGAAACACATTCTGTCCATATATGTATATTTATGAGATAGGTCCAGACCTCTCTAAGAAGGTAAAAGACATTAGTAAGGCACACGATCTTTGTAGTACTAACCTCTTGCCGCAGGAAAGGATTTTCCTTTTTGAGCTCTTCAGAAAGATCTTCTCCCTCCAGCCATTCCTTCATGCCAGTCTGTTCGGCCCAGGCGTTCACAGTCGCTAGGGCAGCAGCTCGAACATTGTTCTGAATGGGGGAGAGAACCAGTAAGGATAACATTAACTGTGCTCTGTAGGTAGGGAGTGAACATGAAGCTCTCTCTAAGGTCCACACGAATATACTTGGAACCATCCTCTTTGAAACATAATCTAGTTCTGTGGTTGTACTAAAAGTCCAAATTAGCCCTGGCTGGGTGGCTCAGTTGCTTGGAGCACTGTTCCATACACCAAAAGGGTTGCGGGCTTGGTTTGATCACCAGTCAGGGTGCATATGAGGGGCAGCTGGTGGATGTTTCTCACATCGATGATTCTTTCTCTCTCTTTCTAAAGTCAATAAACATATCCTCAAGTGAGGATAAAAAAAACACCCCTCTAAATTACAGGAGAAACATAAAACTCTAAATTGTCAGTAGTCAGTTATAATTAGGCAAAACAGGGACCTGGGCATAAAATATGTAAGGGGAATAAACTCTCAGGTTTTGTTTTCTGAACCTTTGGGGGCTCTCATGTCCACGTAGTAATTCTACACATTAGAGAACGCATAATGGTTATACTGAAATTACTAACAAGTGTAACATTTATGTTTTTATATTAACTTGTATTCATAGAATGGGGACTTATTGACATGAAAAACAAAAACATTAAAATAGTCCAATTCCTTACATTAAAAGTATTACACAAAAACAGTCATTCAAATACTCAATCTAGGGCTAAACTAATAAGAGGCGTACAACACTGAATGAGACTAGTTATCTTACTCAAGTGCTAGAGGATCCTCCTCTGGTAGTTCAGGGAAGAAAGTACGTGATCCAAAAATTCGTTATTTTTATTCATTCTTTACAGCAATACTTTTAACAATGATGTCATAATCATAATAGGAACTGTTTTTTAAGTGCATACTATATAAAACAGGTACAGGTACCTTATGTAGAGACTCATTTAATTCTGTAATGATAAAATTACAAAGATAATGAACATCAAAAGGTAAATAACTTATCTAAAGGTCATAGCTAGTAAGAGATGTAGCTGGTCATGTTAATACTGCCTGGAAAGTAAAAATGGTTACTATTTTCTTCCTAATATTCTCCTCAAAGTTTACAAACTGTTCACATGTTTCCTTACATGTAAGTAAACAGAATTATTCTTAGCTCCAGTTTGTGGCTGGCTTATTCCAAACTGGAGGGTAGTGAAGAGGCAGGTTACCTTGCTGTCTCCAAGGACTGTGATGACAGGGATGCCTAAGTTCTTCACATGCTGCTTGATGTTGGGGCCCATGGCTACTGCCAGTTGCTGGAGGATAGTCAGCGTCTGCTGCACCTGAGTGGAAAGAGCCAACACCTCATGTTCAAATCATGAACAAGCTTAACACAAAGTTTTGCAAGTCTGCTCTACATGGTCATTGCAGTGGGAAGTCTGGTGTATGTAAGAGATAAGGAAAATCAGCTTTTTATGACACTACTCTAATTAGCCTGAGTAATTTTTAGGCAGTGACCTCTGCTTTTATCATTAGTTCATAAAATCAGAGTATTAGAATTTTAGACTACAGGTTATACTGCTTTATAATTTTAAAGTAAGGTAAAGCATAGTTTAAGAAAATCCTGGCATAAAATCCAAATTTAAAAATTAGAAATTAAGCATGATTGTGTACATTACAAGCAGTTTTATATAAAGATACTGAACATTAGGGTCCTATAAAAATCAAATCTGAGCTGCATAAAAATTTGACTAATAAACTTGCCATCTATCAGCATATCTTATGGCACATCTAAGAAATTAAAGAAAGCTATTTCTAGTTCAAAGCAAATAAAACAGCCACTGATTTTTCTGCTGGTGACAGTTCATTGAAAGGGAACCTCCTGGCCCTGACTGGTGTGGCTCAGTAGGTTGGCATTGTCCCTCAAACTGAAAGGTCCCCAGTTCAAATCCTAGTCAGGGTACAGGCCTGGGTTGCAGGCCGGATCCCTAGTTGGGGGCATGTGAGAGGCAACTGACTTTTGTTCCTCTAGCGCACTGATGTTTCTCTCCCTCTTCCTCCCTATCTTCCCCACTCTCTAAAAAGAAAGAAAGAAAGAAAATCTTAAAAAAAAAGAAAAGAAGAAGGAACCTCTTAAAGGGGGGGAGGAGGGAAGAAAAAGGACGGGCATGAACTCTACGTACCAAGATTTTATTTGAATCATTGAGTCGACCCTTTAAGGCAGTTGGAAGTTCACCTATGTTTGGTTGGATAAATTTTGCTTCATTGATAATACCAGCCACTTCATCTAGGCCTTCTTTCCTGATCTTCCAATTTTTGTCACCAATCTTAGATATCAACTCTGAGGTGATTTTGTCACTGAAAAAATGAAAGAGACCTTATTTCAGACTCTTAAAAATTAATGATATCAAAAGTACTCCTGACTGAGAAAGAGAGGGCACCAGATTAAAAATTCAGTATAATTAATCAAATAAACCATTCCCAACAAGCCTACCTTATTTCTGTCCTTGGCAAAAGATCCACAACATCATTGCCCCCATCGTCTGGTTCATCTCCATCTTCTCCTTCCTCCGTACCACTTGTGCTGTGTTTGGAAATCCCTCTGGTTGGAGCAGGTGGGTTCTGTCCCTGCATCTACAGCCAAACAAGCAAACGAGTGAGGCTAATGAACTTGACAAAGGATGTGAGAGCAGACAAGCTAGAGGATGGTGCCTGTGTCAAAACTTCATAATCCTTCATAATCCTTCATAATACACAGCACATGTCTTAATTCCTATTTAGGTTCCAATTCTGAGACTATATGGCAAAGGATATTTTTATAAAATGTATAAAGTCTGACTTCTCAATCATAAAACTGTCTTTTGACTTGTATGCCCAAGACAATATAGAGCAAGTCTGTCAAACCACAGCAATTTCCAATGGAAAGTTTATTCAAGGAGGAACAATATTTTTACTTAAAATTTTTTAAATATTTAATGTGCTTTTTGAATAGGTCATACATTCAAAATACTAAGTTGGCCAAAAAAATCTGTTAGTTTTTTCAGTAAAACAAAAGACACATTTTTCATCTTCATCAATAACTTTATTGATTTGGATATTTTGAGTGTGCTGGCTTTCTCACTATTGGTTTCTAGTGACTAGAGACCAGGGGTGCTGCTAAACATCTTCCAATGCATAAGACAGCCCCATAGCAAAGAATTATTTGGCCGAAATGTGAATAGTCCCAGGAAACTTCACAAACCATTTGGGACATGTTTGATCAGTCACAGCACCTTCCCCATGCACTGTACTGCAAAAATCTTTTAAGTTTCAGTTGCATTTTTACCTTTCATAATATACCAAAAATGTTGCATTTTCTTCCATCTTCCATATTAAAAGGGCTACGCAAAAATTCACCAATTTTGTAAGTTCTTTTTTTTTTTAATGCACGGTGATATGACAGCTGTCACAATATAATTTAATAAAATTGTTTCAAATGAAACCAAAGACAACTAAACCCTCCTAGAGCCATCGTATAGAAGAAACATTAACGGAATTTTTTGGCCAACCCAATATTTGAAATTCTGAAGACACAAAGGATATAAAGGGGAAAGTCTCCCATCCTATACCACAGCTACTCTGTTCTCTTCCTCTTAGACAGTCAAACTCATCAATTTCTGCCCTGGCTGCTGTGGCTCAGTGGATTGAGAACCACTGAGGGCCTGTGAACCAAAGGGTCTCTGGTTTGATTCCCAGTCAGGGCACACGCCTGGGTTGTGGGCCAGGTCCCTTGTAGGGGGCATGTGAGAGGGACCACATATTGATATTTTTCTCCCTCTCTTTCTCCCTTCTTTCCCCTCTCTAGAAATAAATGAATAAAATCTTAAAAAAAAAAAACCCTCATCAATTTCTTAGGAACTCTTCCCAAGGATACTTTATACATATAAAAGCAAATACATACTATTTATTCCAAAGAGTTAAAAGTTTAAACTTAATATAAGCTTTCTCAAGTCTACCAATAGATTGTATCATTTGTGAAATCTTTACCTTCTCAAATTCTGCATCTATCTGGGACAGGAGGGCAGGCTTTTCATCTTCAAAGAACATTCGCAAAGAGGGACCAACATACAGGTACATTACACCAAGCAGGGTGATAGCAGAAGTCCTCACAGCCTGGCAGAACAAAGGGAATTTTCCAAGTCAGAGCAGAACTACAAAGATGGCTGTACTGTCCCTGTACTTGCTGGTATGTACTCACTGGGTTTGTTGCAGCAAGAGCTGTCTTCACATTGCTAATGAAAGCTTTCACATTCAATCTAGAAGAAATAACATTTAGAGTTATAAACAAACAAAAGTTTTATAAAGCCAAACTCTAGAAGTGGCTTCCTTTGTGTGTGTCCCAGAATCTCACGTTTAATTTCTACGCTCATTTGAAGTGAGCTTAAAATACTTTCCGTATGCTAATCACTCCAAAATCCAATGTTAACTTCTCTCCTATGAACTTTAGATTCTGATAGGCAACTGCCTTTGTGACATTTCCATTTGTATGACTAGATGTCACCCTACATCTGTCACCAAATACCTGACTGTCCACACCCCAACCCCAAAACCTGTTCTCACAACCTTTCCTACCTCAGTGAAGAGCCATATTGTTCTTCCCGTCGCTCAGGCCACACTCAACTCCAGAGTCATCCTGACTCCTCTCTCTTATGCCCACTGTCCTCGTTGAGTTCTACTTTTAAAACACTTGCACCTCCACAAAGATCGTCCAAGCCAGTGGGATTTCTTGACAGGATTATTCCAATAGCCTACTAAGTGGCCTCCCTGCTTCTGCCCTTGATCCTCACTATGTGTTCCAACTACAGTCAGAACAGTCCCGTTACTCTTCTGCCCAAAACTCTGAACCTCCAATATCAGCTTCTATTCCTTCCTTCTACTTCCACTTTCAAAAGAGACCAAGATTCTTAGTGCCCGTATCATGCCAGGTCCAGTTCTCAGCATTTCACAGAAAGGAAAATTAGGTCAAAAGGGGAGCAGTGCCTTGCCCAAGGCTACACAGCTGGAAAGCGGCAGGTTAGAGATATGACCCCATGTGAGCTGGCTTCATAGACAGCCTTCTGAACCACTGCTCTCCTAGCTGAAATTTTAGTTCACAGCTCTTTTGCAGCGCAGTGCTGCTCTTGCTCTAAATGGGGGCTTCCAACTGGATTTCTGCTGCATAAAAAATGAAACAAACTTAGAGGTGCTGTATTACCTGGCTTTCTAATTTTTCTCCAATTTTACCTCCTATCACTCTCCACCAGCTCACTTATTCCATTCCAGCTACAGGATGAAAAACAATTACCCCTTCCTGTTTTGAAATGTGTCACATGTGCTCCAACCAAGGGGCTTCTGCACTTGCTGTCCCTTGGTCCACAGAATGTTCTTCTCCCAGGCTGTCTCAGCTAACTCTCTCATGTCCTGAAGGTCTCTGCTCAGATGTCATTGTTTCAGGAAGGGCTCTTGATCTACCTTATAGAGAAGAACCCCGTCCCAACAACACTAAGGTGATATCACCTAACCCCTCAACCTGCTTTTTAAAGTTCTGTTGTTCTTAGACCTCCCTCACATATTTTTTTACTGTTTATTGTCATCTCCCCTTACTCAAATATAAGTGCTATGAAAATAGGAATTTTAACTTGTCCATGATGTATTTTTAGAACCTGGAACAAATGACTGGAATATCATAGGTAAACATCTGTAGTCACTGAATAAGTGAATAAATGAAAGATCATAAATGATAGAATAAAAAGAGAAAAATATTCACCTGGCTTTTATGTCATGCCAAGAGATTAGTTTTACACCACAGCCTATATGATTAAGAAGTTATAACAATACCCTCAACTATGGGGAGGGCACCTCAGATACTGCCATGACATTTCTTTGCTTGAATGACACTTGAATGATAATTTCTAATGCAGTATTTCTTCACTTGGTAGAATTCAGAATTGTTTTGCAAGGTATTAAGAGGCATGTTGTAAAAAGCAACATGACACAGAAAAAGGCAACATAATACAGCAATTACAATTTCTTTCTTTGAACTAGACTGCCTGTGTTTAAATCTTGGTTTTGTCATTTCTTAGCTGTGACTTAGACAGATTACTTGTGCTTTCTGTGCCCTAGTTTTCTTATTTATAAAAAAGATAACAACAAAATATATGTGTGTGTGTGTATAAAAGAGATAACAACCTCACATGGCTTTTATGATGATTGAATCTAATAAATTATTTAGAAAATACCCAGCATAAAGTAAGCTCTATAAAATTTTTGATAAACGAAATAAATGTGTTCAATATGCAAATAAGTTTGGGAAAACAGCAAGTTAAACAAGCTTCTCTATTGAATGACTTCTGAGAGTCTTTATTTCACCAGTGTAGACTAGAGGTCTCTAATCATGTATGTAGTGATTTGCAAATATATTTGATTAGCAATCCTGGGAAGTGAGACAGTTATTAACACTCAAGGAAAAATAACTTAGAGAATATTAGTGAATATCAAAATGCAGGTGCACAAGCCAATACAGGCAGTCCCCGACTTATGATAGTTTAACTTAGGATTTTTTGACTTTACAATGGTGTGGAGATACACATACTCTATTCCATGAGACAGTCAACACTTCAGATGACTTTGTCCCACCACAGGCTACTGTAAGTGCTCTGAGCATGTGTGAAGTAGTGTATGCTAAGCTATGATGTTCAGTGGGTTAGATGTGTTAAGTGCATTTTCGACTTAGAATATTTTCAACTTACAATGGATTTACTGCAATGTAACCCCACCATAAGTCAAAGAGCATCTGTATAGACATCTGAGGAACAAGTGTAGTTTTGTTTTATATAAACTCTGGCTTCTGAGAATTAAGCAGAGATAGCTAAAACAAATATAATCACCAGTTACGACTTCCACCAAGATGGAGGCGTAGGTGGAACCACTGTGCCTTCTCGCACAACCAAGTTTAAAGACAACAAAGTTTTAGTAATAAAAAACGCAGCCAAAACACAGAAAATTAAACTATATGGAAGTCCGACAACAACGAACCCTTCAGCCAGACCGGTAAGAAGGGCGGAGCCAGCAACTGGCAGAGCAGGTTGGGCAGGAAAACTCGACCAGACTGACCTAGGCATGCAGTTGGCGGATCCCAGGGGTGGGGTTGGGACAGGCAGACCCATGAGGGCTCAAGGTGGCAGGCTGACCATGGTCACACATTCGTGCACAGATAAACCAGCAAAGGAGCAAGCATTGAGACAGACAGCGCAGGCCCCAACGGCAGGAAGCAGCACAGGGGACTGCCATTGCCCCTCTTTGACCCCGACCCCACATACAGCGTCACAACCCAGCAACCTGGGCGGCCCCGCCCTGGTGAACACCTAAGGCTCTGCTCCTCATACGTAGCGGGTGTGAACAGACCAAAACATGGCTCAAGAAGAACTCAAAACCCCAGAGCCTATAACTCTAAACGACCAAGAAATAGCCAAACTTTCAGATGCACAGTTCAAAACACTGGTGATCAGGATACTCACAGAACTGGTTGATTTTAGTCACAAATTAGAGGAACAAATGAAGGCTAAACTAAGTGAAATGAAGGGAAATGCACAGGAAACCAATAGTAATGGAAAGGAAACTGGGAGAAGAAAAAAAATGACCAAACAGAAAAATATGAAGAAACAAGAATTCAAAAAATGAGGACAGGCTTAGGAACCCCCAGGACATCTTTAAACGTTCCAACATCCAAATTATAGGGGTACCAGAAGGGGAAGAGGAACAGCCACGAGTGGAAAACTTATTTGAACAAATAACAAAGAAGAATTTCCCCAATCTGGCAAAGGAAATAGAATTCCAGGAAATCCAGGAAGCTCAGAGAGTCCCAAAGAACTTAGACTCAAGAAGGAACACACCAAGGCACATCATAATTACACTAGCCAAGATTAAAATGAAGGAGAGAATCCTAGAAGCAGCAAGAGATAAGGGGACAGTCACCTACAAAGGAGTTCCCATCAGACTGCCAGCAGATTTCTCAAAAGAGACCTTACAGGCAAGAAGGGGCTGGTAAGAAGTATTCCAAGTCATGAAATCCAAAGACCTACAACCAAGATTGATCTATCCAGCAAAGCTTTCATTTAGAATGGAAGGACAAATAAAGTGCTTCTCAGATAAGGTGAAATTCAATGAGTTCATCATCACCAAGCCCTTATAATATGAAATGTTAAAGGGACTTATCTAAGAAAAAGAAAAAAAAATATGAACAGTGAAAGGACAGCAAACTCACAGTTATTAACAACCGCACCTAAAACAAAAGCAAACTAAGAGGACAGCTAGATCAGGAGCGGAACCATAGAAATGAAGATCTCATGGAAGGTTAGCAACAGTGAAGTGGGAGGAGAAGAAGGGGGGAGAAGGTACAGAAAATAAGTAGCATAGACAGTATGTAGAAAATAGATAGGGGGGAGGCCAAGAATAGTATGGGAAATATAGAATCTAAAGAACTTGAGACACGTGGTCATAAACTAAAGGGGGGAATGGTGGGGGAGGGGGTGTGCATGGTGGAAGGGAATGAAGGGGGGGAATAGAACAATTGTAATGGCATAATCAATAAAATAAAAAATTTTTAAAATGTAAAAAAATAACCAAATATAATCACCAGTTACAGATTGGCAAGTAATTATTTTGTATTGGATTTTTTCTGACTTACCCAGAAAAACCAAATTCTTTTATTGCATTGGACAGCCAATTCAGAGTTTCTGATTGATTCTTGGGATTCTTCTGGGAGAAAGCCATTGACATAACCTACAGCAGAAGGAAAAAAAAACCCAAAACCACAAATCTGTGTTTTCTCTCATATTTCTCACAGAAATACAGCTGACATTAAGGCAGAAGTGGATGAAACATGGTTTTTCTGATGCTAAAGCAATTGCAAGAATGATTAGGAATAAAATACTTAACCCATATAAGAAAATGATGTGACAGTAATATTAAAGTATTTTGGATTGTTTATAACTTTCGTTAGTGATCACTCTGGATTGTATCTTAAGATAAAATCACTCTCTTCTTTAATAGAATATTCTTTTAAAAATTATTTATTTATTTTTAGGCAGAGGGGAAGGGAGGGGGAAAGAGAGGAAGGAAAACATCAACGTGTGGTTGCCTCTTACATGCCCGGCACCAAGGACCTGCACCATAAACCCAGGCATGTGCCCTGACTGGGAATCCAACCAGTGACCCTTTGGTTCCCAGGCTGGTGCTCAATTCACTGACCCATACCAGCCAGGGCTTCAATACAATATATTTGACTAAGATAAAATTTAATTATCATGCAGTTACGTATTATTAATGGTAAAATAAAAACACAGTATCAACAACAGCTTTACTTGAGAAGAACTAAGCTTAATTAGTAACCTTAAATTAAAATTTGAAAACAAACTAGGAAAACTTGGGGAAAGAGAGCTGTGTCACCAACCTGTTCAGCTGTCCATGGCAACATACACGCCTCAGCTATTGCTGTCATAGCTTCTTTTGCATTGTTCCCACATTTCACATCTCCAATCTTGTCTACAAGGCCATCCAAGACAATCTGAGCTGAGGTTTTGGAAAAATTTCCCTTCTGGGCAATTAAAGCAACTATATGAAGCTTCATCTGCATCACCTGAACAAGGATAAAGTTATGATAAAGTTATAAATAAGCCAAAGATAATTAGTTATGAACTTGTTTGTTTTTAAAGATTTTATTTCTTTTTAGAGAGGGGGAGGGGGAGAAAGTGGGAGAGAAACGTCATGTGGGAGAGCACCTCTCTCACGTCCCAAAAAGGGGACCTAGCCTGAAAAACAGACATGTGCCCTGTCCGAGAATTGAACCTGCAACCTCTGTGGGACAATCCCTGACCCACTGAGCCACACCAATCAGGGCTATACTTATTTTTTATAGCAGCCTGAAGATGTAATATAGTCAAGGACAGCTGAGAACATGACCAAATTAAAATCAGAATTTTAAACAAAGAAGCAAAATAATTTTTATCCTTTGTTACCAATTAAAGTAGCTAAGTAACAGGTAAGAGAAAAAAAAAATCACGCAATGCTATAAAATATCAGCAATGATACCACATAGAAATTTCATGAATTGAAAATTTTAATTTCTGTATTCTCCTTATATAATGATTTGCAACCAGTATTGAATGCACATCTTCCAACACATAATGAATGACTACACTAACTGCAGGACTGAAGACTTGCTCATAGGAAGAACTTTGCTCACAAAAGAACTGTGACCTTCCTGTGCACACACACAACAGAATCTGAGAGACTTAAAGAACTTGTACATTTTTAATTGGAAGAAAGAAAGAAGCTTAGAAAACAACTTAAAGATACTGATGTAATGACAGCAAATGTATTGGACTTGAGACCCCTTTGCCCATAAATATTTCCCTTTGTTCTGTTTGAATATTGAATTAATAAATATTGGCAAGGATGTAGAGAAACTGGAGTTCTCTTGCATTGCTGGTGTGAATATAAAATGGTGCTACCATACGACCCAGCAATTCAACGTCTAGGTATATATCCAAGAGAATTTCAAACATATTCACATAAAGACACACACACATACTCATGGCAGTGTTATTCACGACAGCCAAAAAGTGGAAACAATGACAATGCACATCAACTGATAGATGGGTAAATAAAATGTTGTCTATCCATACAATGGAATATTATTTAGCAATAAAATAGAATGTAGAGTTGATAGATGCTACAATATGAACAGTAAAAATATCATGCAAAGTAAAAAGTAGACACAAAAAAGGCTACATTTTGTATCATTCCATTTACAGGAAATGTCCAGGAGAAGTAATCCATGGAGACAGAAAGTAGACTAATAGCCTCCAGGGACTGGCGGGGGACTGGGGATTTGGGAAGAAACAGAGAGTGACTACTCATGGGTACAGGGTGGTGATGAAAATACCCTAAAATTATATAGTGGTAGGAGTTGCAGAACTATGTGAATATACTAAAAAGTGCTGCATTGTATACCTTAAAACAGTGAGTTTTATACTCTCAATAAAGTTGTTATAAAGGAAAAGGTATATAAAATTACCCCGCATTACGGATCTAACACACAGGAGGGTATTAGCTGAAACCACGTGTGCTTCCTTCACCTGTCTGAGCAGCTGCATAGAGAGGAGTGTTAAACGTGGTGTGAGGGGAAGAGGGCAGCCCAAGAGCCTTTGGCGTAGAGATTTCCTGGGGCCGGGTAGAATGGGTGGGTACTGCAGAACAGGGCGAAGGGGACACAGTGAGAGGGAGCTACGGATCCCACGACAGAACAAGAGGTGTCAGTATAGAAGCAAAAAAGAGACTAGCAGGATGCCACGTACAGACTTGAAACATCAGGAAAAATTTTTTACGTGAGGTCTATATATATCTGGGAAAAGGAAACTCTTCTCCTGTTTTTCTTCCTGTATCACTTTCCTGAACCTACTTTTTAGACTAAATAACAGCACTGCTGAATTTCATCTCTGTTATCAGCTAATTAAATAGACTGTGGTAATTTTTCACTGGCAATTTAAAGACTGCATTTATTTTTTATCCAAACAAATAAGAAAGCTATCTCACTGTTTATCCCTCCTTTGAATATGTAAAAATTAGAGGACTTCTAGGCCTAAATAATGAGGAGAAAATGCATATACTTAAACTAAACAAATAATACACATCTATTCAATCAAAATTAGGTGACATATTTCTGAGTGATTAAAAAATAAAAAGCTAAAAATCATTACCAAAACTATACCTCTCTATTACTCCATACAAAGATGTAACAGAAATTACTTCAATAAAAAACATTAAATCTCCAGTTAAAAAAAATACCTGAAAATTAGTTTCTTTCCACCCAGGTTTCCTGGCCAGCATCCTCACTAATGCCTGGCATGGCATTTCAGTTCGGTCCATTAGTTCAACAGCCTTGAAGTAAAACCAGAGAATAAGAGTTAAGGGGTAATGAGTAGTTCCAAGGAATAGTATATAACAAAATGAGAATGGAAATGAAGAGGGACTTAAATAGTTTCTGTTATAATGCTTTGTTTCTCAAGTTGGATGTTTAGTATATATTTGTCATAGTAAAACCACTGAAACTTTTTTTTCAAATTGTAGGAATTCACGATTTGCTCCAAGGAAAGTAATGCTAACATAGTTTTCATTTGCCTAGCGTGTGGCAGAAATTGCTTAATATTTTGACTTATTCGATTTTCCTAAAAACACAGAAAAGTAAGGTAGGTTAGAAGTGGTTAAGTATTAAATTTCAAAGTTGCACAAATTCAGGCGTGAACACAACACGCGGCAGATGCCGGACTGGCAGCCAGGTTTCCTGCCTCCGCCCCGGCGCTCTCCGTTTCTCCACGCCCCTGCTCATCAGAATCGCGGAGAATGCGCCAGGGTGAACTACCACGCTCCTCCCCAGCACAGATCTTTGAGAGGAGCTTCTCACACCACATGATAATATCTGTTCTCCAAAATTATGATGACAAAGAGGGAAACACAGAAATGGACGAGGGGGTGGTTTAAGTGCAGAGATGTTTGCTTACTAGTATTAAAAAACAAATACTGTACCATAATATTAAAATTCATCTAAACCTTATAATTCAGAATAAACCTAATTTTCTTGGGTAAGTACTAAGTTATGAAATTATAGAAACCATAGGCAGCAGATGTTGAAAGATAACACTATACAGCTAAAAAACAAACAAAATAACCCCATCTCATTTTTAGGAAACACCCCAAAACACGTTCACTTCTAAAACACAGCCTTAGGACAGGTCTTCCATTTTCAATTTCAACACTTCTATAAAATGTAGTTTTCTTTCACTCTCAACTCATCCTCATGCGCCTACCTTCTGGAACTCTTCCATACAGGCAAGTCTTTCCTTCCAGTTACTGCTGTCTAGAAGTTGTATACATGTAGCAGGAAGGACAGCTGAAGCTTTTTCTTCACATACTTCAATCTGTAAGATACAAACACATTAAAGTCAAAAAATTGCTTAAGGAAACAGATAGCAAGAATGTAAAAATATAAGAACATCCTATAGGTATGCTACAGTATCTGAGGCTTCTATTTCTGTACCATAAAGGGGAAGTTTGTCTAAGGCAGTTTCAAGAAGCTAAAAAGTATGAAAGAACTGCATGTTGTAGAATGCAGGAAAGGAAGAACTTAAGTCTTCTCATAGATACTGACTTTCCATGGCTTTATGAGTCTGAGACACGTTATATAACACTGACCGAGAGCTCTGGCTCCACTATTTCCTTGATCTCCAATCCCTTCTTGTTCTTGGTTCCAGCGCTCCCTGCACCTCCTGGTGCACTTGGTTTCCCCTTCTTAGGTGGTCCACCAGCCTACAAGCAATTGAAAAAACAATCACACCACTCAAGGATTTCGAAGAGTGCTTCTTAAACTTCTGTGGGTCAGAGACTTCTTGGAAGTTTTTCTGAAATGAGGGATCACTGAAACTGTGTATGGCTTATTGTGGTAATCATTTCCAAACATACACAACTATCATATCGCTGTGTTACACAAAAACTAATATAATGTACGTGAACTGTATCTCAATCAAAACTTTTTTTAAAAATGAGGGACAACACAACCACCACCAACAACAGCATATTTTTAGTACACACAGAATTTAGCCATTTCAAAGGCAGGCAGACCTTCTGAAGACCATTCACGGGGGAAACTGTAGGCCCCATTTTAAGAACTTAGAAGAGTCCCCAAGACAAGTGTTCATTTAAAGGAGTGCCACATTTGCCCCTGGGCACTTCCGCCTCTTCCACACTGTGCAAAGGTAACAAGACCTGGACTGGCAGGAGGCTCACTGATGCAACTCAGCAGCATTATTAGCAAAATGACGAAGGTGATGTTATTTATGTGAAGTGCCTTGCCACATTTTATTTCTTGATACTTTCTGACCCCTTAAAATGCACTCATGTACTTCCATTACCATTTTTATCTCTATTAAAGTCTCAAATAACCAAATGTATTGTTGAATACTCTGCCTTTATGAACAGATGTTCTGCTGTATTTTGAATGTGGTAATGAGTTTATTTCAAATGAAATCATACTGGAAGATCAACCATTAACCTGAGATTCAGACCCTACCTTATATAAATTCTAATTTTTAAACCATATTTTCCAAGTCATCTATTAACCTTAGTAGTAGAGGCCTTTTTTAAGGGTCCTGGTTTGGGTACTGAAACGTCCTTCGTGTCCTTATCTCCCGCTGCCCCTGAAGAAGCAGTCCTTCCAGGAACAGGCTTGAATTCCTTCTTTTCAGCTGCCAGTCCAGCTTTCTTACCATGCGCCAGCTCCACCTTTTCTGAACATTCTTTGATCTGGAGAATGAAATTGAGATGAACATCATCAAGCCCAACTTTGAAACACAACCACTACCTTACTATAATAGATTATTTAAACCACAACTATATGAGAATTCAGAGAGAGAAGTTTCCTTTTCTATAAAGATAAATTACCCAGACTTTACCTTTTTATTTCCACACAAATTAGAATTGCAATAACCACAATCTGAGAAGACATTCATATTTAGAAAGGTAATTTTCCAGATATTAGAAAAAAGTTCTTAAAACACTGTTTTCACCTTAACAGGTTATGGTCACTAAGCTTTATTTTTTATGTTATAAGTTGAAAGGTATTTCTACTAATATAATAACTGTAGCTTGGAATGAAATTTAAATCTTCAAAAGCTGTGTTTTCAAACTCTAGGTATGAATCACCAGTGGCAATGAAATAAATTTTACAAGTTGATGTCAGTATTTTTGTCTTAATATAACAGAACAGACAAAATTGAAAATAAAGCCATAATGCACTGTTGTCCAATTTCATTATAATCTATTACTTACCTTATCAAGCTTAAGTTTGTCTACATCAACTAAGAATGGGTTTACTGCTTTTTCACCAACCACCTTCAAAGCTGTACCCAATGCTTCAAATGCAGCATCTCTGACTTCAGAAGCAGAATCACTGATGTGCTACAGTTCGGAAGTAAACAAAATGATCTCAATACAACGTACTCTAGGTATTACTGATTTTAAGTTACACTAATGGTTGTTAGATAACAAATTTGTCTTTTATGACTCATTGAAGCTAAGTAAGGCTTTCCTTTTGTCAGTTTTCAGTTATTCTTTCACAAATTCTTTTTGGCTTAAGGGAACCCCTGATATCTACTCAGCATGTACGTGCTTCCCTTTCCTCCTACCCTCCATCTAAAGTGCCTCACATTCAAATAATCTTCAAATAGTCCAAACTGTATGCCTGTGCTTGGCTAGATCCAGCTGAACACCAGTAAATGGGCCACATAAGAAAATGGTTAGCAATTAGTGGAACTTGTGCTTCAAGGAGAGGAACACAACAATACAAATTTGGATTCAGTTTCCAAAGCTTCTCAAAACACCGTACTACACGGTCTGAAAGTCAAACAGTCACCATACATAATTAGCAGGATAAAAAAACCTTTCCTAGATATAAAATATTCCCCCAATTTCAAAGAGAATCTATACCTTTAGTAGAGCTGCACAAAAGGGCTTCAGCAAGCTCTTAGGCAGGGTAGCAGCAGTGCAGTGGCGGAAGCTTCTTGCAATAAAAAGCGATGTCTGCTGCTTGATGGTTGGATTTTTATTATCCATTACTGCTAAAACATCCTCACTGATGTTCTGTAGAGTGGTCTTTAGAAAGAAAATGTGGTCAGTGAGCTTTTCCCAACTCTAAAGAACGATCAAAATATCGCACTAACGAAACACCACACAGACGAGAGCCCAAGCTCATATCGTCAACTTACAGTAAGGAAGATCGCATCGATTGCCTCCTGCAGGGCTTGCACTACTTGAGGCTTCTTCTCTTTAAATTTTTCCAAAATGGTTGGCACAACCTATAAAAATGAGCAGATAGAATATTTTCTGGCAACAAAAAGGAGTGATGTACTGATGACATACTACAACATGGACGAGCCTTGAAAGCATTATGCAAAGTCTAAGAAGCCAGTCACAAAGGGTCACAGATGTATGATTCCATTTATATGACATGTTGAATCCACAGAGACAGAGCAGATTAGTGGTTGCCAGGGTCTAGGTAGGGAAGAATGGGGGGTGACTGATAATGGGCATAGGGTTTCATTTTGGGGTGATAAAATGTTCTGGAATTAGATAGTGGTAATGGTTAACAATGATTATACAGTCTTGTGTTTATACTAAAACCATTGAATTATACACTTTAAAAAGAGGGTGAATTTTATAGTATGCAAATTATATCTCAAAAAAGCTATTATTAAAATAATGTTTGGCGGGCCTGCGAACCAGACAATCGTGGTTCGAATCCCAGTCAGGGCACAGACCAGGGTTGCAGGCTGGTTCCCTGCAGGCCAGTTCCCAGCAGGGGACGCACAAAAGGCAACCATACATTGATGTTTCTCTCCCTCTCTCCTTCCCTTCCCCTCTAAAGATAAATAAATAAAATTTTAAAATAATGTTTGGCTCACCAAAACAAAAAAAAAGTGAATAAGTTGGATAAAAGAGTCATTAAAAATATTTTATTTATTTATTTTTAGAGAGAGGGGACAGGAAGGAAAAAGAGTGGGAGAGAAACATCAATGTGTGGTTGCCTCTCATGTGTCCCCTGCTGGGAACTGGCCTGCAGCCTAGGCATGTGCTCTGACTGGGAATTGAACCGTGATGCTTTGGTTCACAGGCCCGTGCTCAATCCACTGAGCTACACCAGCTAGGGCTCAAGTGCTCAGTTTAGACCAGTCAAGTTGAAATTTTTATATTTCTTTTATCTTATAAACCATCACTAATTCATTAAATATTTAGTGAATGCCTAACGTACCTATTGAGTATCACGCACTGTGCTAGCAGGCAAATTAAAGTTGTTTTTAAGGTCTGAAAGATATAGACAAAGTTTAATGGAATCCAAAATAATTTTTTTTCAAGATTTCACAGAAATGATACATGGTATGAAGAATATGGTTTCCATGTAGAAATATAAAAAACTTCTTAGTTCTGCCTGGTGTAGCTCAGTGGATTGAGCAAGGGCCTGTGAACCAAAGGTTCATAGTTCAATTCCCAGTCAGGGCACATTCTTGGGTTGCAAGCCAGTTCCCAGCAGGGGATGCACGAGAGGCAACCATACATTGATGTTTCTTTCCCTCTCTCCTTCCCTTCCCCATTAAAGATAAATAAATGAAATCTTAAAAAACTTTTTTAGCATATACACAGATATTATACAATATATAATTGCTATAAATATATGATTGCTATAAAATATTAATTAGTCCTGGCTGGTGTGGCTCGGTAGACTGAGTGCCGGCCTGTAAAACTAAAAGGTCACCACTTTGATTCTCAGTCAGGGTGCATGCCTGAGTTGCGGGCCAGGTCCCTAGTTATGTGTGCGAGAGGCAACTGATCGATGTATCTCTTGCACATCAATGTTTCTCTCTCTCCTCTCCCTTCTTTCCCCGCTCTCTAAAAATAAAGAAATAAAATCTTCAAAAACCCAGAAAGAAGATTTTAAAAGTATATTAATTATAATTTTATTTTAGCTTATATTTATATGTCTAAGGCTTTAAAAAAATCCTTTTACTTATTTTTAGAGAGAGGGGAAAGGAGAGAGAAAGAGAGGGAGAAAATAGTGATGTGCAAGAAAAACATTTACTGGTTGCCTTTCACACATCCCCAAATCAGGGACCTGGCTCACAGTCTAGGCATGTGCCGTGACCGGGAATCAAACCGGTGACCTTTTGGTCTACTACAGCAAGATGCCTATTCCATTGAGCTACACCAGTAAGGACCTTTTTTGGACCTTTATTTTTATTTCCTGGTAACAAGCTAGTCATGGTTTATTTTAATTAGGTACCATCTTCTTTTTTCCAGCTAAGTTCTCTGAAATTATTTTTAATGTTATGAGTTAGCAAGCTCCAAATACCATAACTAAGTGAGGTTAGATGTTAGCTTCACAATATAAAACCCACACATGGTTATGGACCATTAGGAGAATCTTATGTTCATCCAGGGAATCAAATGATCAAGCGGTGAGCAAGTTTTAAACTTTAGAGTTCAGTACGATTTTCAGATGCTGAATTATTCTAAGTAATTCAGATTTAGAGGCCAACTGACAGATGCTAGTTAAACACCTCAATTTATTAAAAACTATTACCAAACTTGATTGCTTCCAAATTTACACAAAGAAAATAGTATATTCAACGAATGTCTCCAGTGAGATTTCCTTAGAATAAATTAAACTGATATATCATGAAGAGTATAACCTATATAAAATGTCTCAAGTATATGAGTAAATTATTTTTCAAATAGGAAAACACTATACAAATGTATTTTACATGTTAATATCACTTGTTTTATATCGTCTTTTCTACTCTTATTTTTGCTCTGTCCTGAATATCCTAAGTTTTAAGTTCATCCTATTATACTATATGTAATATTGTAGGACAAAAGCAAGATATTAATCAATAAGTAATAAGCAAATCAACTCAACTAAGCACTTTAGGCCAAATGCCTGATTTTCTACATAAAGCTAATGAATTTAGTTATAAATGACATCTTCATTGAAATGCTGTAAGGAGTTATGTTCAATATTAATAAAACTTAGTGAAAAATGTACTTTACTCAATATATAAAGATCTATGCCAAAGAGCTGTTTTCAAGTTTAGAGCAAACTAGCCTGACATCCTTGATAATATTGTTGATTTGTCCTTAAGAAGTATTACTTACGTGTCCTGCATATTGTCCAAATTTCTTCCTTAGCCCAACAGCCAGGCCAGTAAGACATTTTGCTGCCAGAGCCACCAACATGACATTGGTGTCCTTTCCAACTACCTATAAAAAGGAAAATGAAACAGTCACAGACCTGTAGAAGGAAACTGAAAACTTCCTCTTAAAAGAATTCTAAAAACTATTATGTTAATAGATAGCCAATTACATTCCCTACAAAAGAAGAGATTTTTCTTTAACAATATCAAATTTGGAAGCTTCCTTTCAGTATGTTTAGTCTCCTATCTTGAAGTTTTACCAATAAAAAAATATATAAAACCACAACGTCCAGCCATTAACTCCATCAGTTGTAGTCTGGGCTGTCAGAGGAGGAGGTGACTCTGACAATGGCAGAGAAGCTGGAGGCCTGCTGACTGCTCTGGGGCAGGGAAAGCTACGATGATGTTTCTCTGGAAGACCCCACAGGGCAGCAGCCCTAACTTTTATACCCCAGGAGCACCAGCAAAAACTGCTGTAGGCACCATCAAGAAGTCCAGGCAGATTCTAAATTGTAAGCACCACTGCAACCTTTTCTCTGAGGGAGCTTCTGGCTTGGCAGTTGCCATTTTAATTACCAAAAGATGTTCAAGCTTGCATTTAGAGCCTCTTGGCAGAGTTTCCTCCCCCACTGTTTATACTACCATGCTCCTGTACTACACCCCAAAAAGCCTAGTACTTCCCAAAACTCACAGGTAGTAGCTGTTCCTGTATCACTTTAGGAAGACAGTGACTATAACTGGTTTCCTTCTTGCTAAGACTTTACTGTGGTATATTGCCCAAGTCAGCTGGTGTTAAAAAGCTGCTTTACTTTTAAGTGCCCCAAACTCCTGTTTTTTTACTCTTTTCCTATGTAGAAGTAATGCTTCCACTTTTCTTTGGATTTTATATAGTCCCTAAGATCTGGCATTCCCTAAGCAGAATGTTTCATTCCCAATTCTCCAAATTAAACAATCTGTAATGTACAGCATGCAAGGAAGTTCTAATTGGCACCTGTAGGTACTCCCTAAGTGCTGAGGAGTAAGGATTAAGAAAAGAGGCTAACATTTCTTTTTTAAAAATTAAAGGGCAATTTTATAGTTGTTTTATAATCCGTATTTCACTTAATATTCACCCAAATCCTATCAAGTAGGTACTATTATTAGTTCAATTTTGTAAATTTCAAATAAATAAATAAATAAATAAATAAATAAATAAATAAATACAGATGAACTTGCTCAAGGTCACAGAGCTACCAAATAGTAATGCTACATTCAAACCAAGTCTGTTCTGACAGCAAAGCTCTTGCTCTCTTACCCGCAGCACTTTGCTGGTCATTCGCAGATAAGTGCAGAGCTCCGAAAAGTCTAAGTGGCCTGATGTGCACATTGCCAGCTGAGACTGAACAAAGCAACACTGGATTCTTCTTTCAGCTCCCATACACTAAGACTGTCTTTTACACTAAGACAGCAAGACTGTCTTTTTCTTGAGGTTTGCACATGTTCTTTGCACTAAATACGTATCTTTTTCACAGTCTATTTAGTGCTATGGTTTCTTGTTTTTTTATTTGTTGCATTTTGGTGCTTTCTGTATGTCCTTTCACTGTTTAGAACGGCCCCTAGGTGTAGTGCTAAAGTTCTGTCCAGCATTCCTAAGCACAAGAAGGCTGTGATGTGTCTCACACAGAAATTCTGTGTGTTAGATAAGCTTTATTCAGGCACGAGCTATAGGGCAGTTGGCTATGAGTTCAATGTTAATGAATCAATAATTTATATTACATAAGGTATCTTCAAAAAGAATAAAACACAGTTATGTATTGTTTTATGTATCGGCTGATGAAAATGTTATGATCAAATGGTCTCAGGACCTTATCCTTGCATTTCCCCTAGGAATAATGGTTTAGCATTCGCTAATTCAGTGTTTGTGGTAATTTTATAGAATATAACTACCAGGAATAAAGAGAATTACTGTACTTACATGTGTCTATAATTAAAGATTAACCTCTTCCCCCCACCATTTTAATCCTCTGTAATTTCAGGCTGAGGAAACAAAAAAGGTTTCAGCATTGCTGTTCTCAAGACAAGGTCTTCAGTTTGTTCTTAAGTTCTACAACTACATCCACAGTGTCTGATCTATACTTTCAGATTTTATGAAATGCCACTATATTTAAAATTTTCCCCCAGCAGTAACCTGATTAGACCTAAGCAATACTGAAGGAATATTTTCTAAAAATATTTTTATTTAGTACTTGCCTACTTTATAGTTAACCACATGCCCCACATCCTCTGCTTTACACGCTGATACAATATAATGTGGCATCTTAACAAAAAAAAGTCTTTGTATTTAATAGCTGTTGCATTAAATGAAGCCAACTTAAATAGTTCATCTGACAGAATTATAAAACTGGAGTAGTTGGGTCTGGATCAGCAAGACTGTCTTTTTCTTGAGGTTTGCACATGCTCTTAAATAGCATTCTTAAAGTCAGACTGAAAACTACTCCCTCCAAAATAATCTAGGACAATAATTTTAAACAGTCCTTCAAAAATGAATGCCTATGATTTAAAAACCATCAATAGTGTTCCTTAAATGGCAATGTTGTTGTGATAAAAAGGATGACCAATAAAAAGAAAGTCAATGGCCTTAACTGTTGCTGGGATACCAGCATGGAAACTCCACACATTTACCTTCTTTAATGCTTTTACTAAATCCGCGTAATCGCCTGCTTCCAATTTGGGGTTTTTCACCAGTACTTCTACAGCCTCCAGGGCTTCTTTTCTCTCTTGCCATTTTTTTGCCTCCTGCAGGGCACAGTATGAATCATTTGTAGAACAGAAAATAAGAGAGCAAAATAAGAGTCTATTTCTTTCATATCACCAATTCAAAGATATTTTTTGTTTTCAGAAACTTTTCCTAAAGCTAGTCAAAAACAATTGCAAAATTGTATAGCCAATCAGAATGTTTTGTTCATATAAATAAATTTGTTTTAGTATATAAAAAGTCTTACCATTTCATAACACTAAATGCGATAGTAAGTAAACAAAATAAGATGCCATACATAGTCTTTTCCTTCCATTCTCTAGGCAAATGTTGGTAAGCATGTATCAAACAGCAAACATTTATAAAAAGCATTTCTAGTGTATCTGACAATGGGACAACTATAGGAGAATGGAACAAGACCAGAAAAGAACAAATCATATAACCAACAACCAAAACTGTTCTAATCCTGAAGATTAATTTTCCAGAATGAGAATAAAATGTAAAACCTTTTGTTTTACATCCATAAAGTAGAATATGCTCCACTAGAGATCAAGCAATCACTCATTAATTTGAATATGCACTATTTGAAAGAATCGGGGGTACAAAGAAGCTGATAAACTAGTCACCCTAGAGGACATTACTGCTCAATTCATCAAATATTTATTTATTCACCAAAAGTTTGAAAGAGTATCCTCCTTAAGAGGATACTCAAGGAGCTGACAGCAAAGCTAGGAAAATCATTAATAAACAACTACAAGGTCATGACCACTATAAAAGAAGAAGTACACACTGCTTTGGTAACACAGCAAGAGGTCTTAACCTAGTTTAGGTTGACAAGTAGGCTTTGCCCTACAAAAAAGATGCCTATGGTGAGATCTAGAAGATAAAGAGGTATTATGAGCTGAATGGGAGCAGAAGAACGTTATAGGCAGAAAGTCCTGTTAAGTCCCAGAGCTTAGGAATAAAACAAAAGCATGGCACATGTGATACTGGGAGAAGGTCAGTGTGACTGGAGTGTGGAGTGTGTGAGCCATTAGGGATGTGGCTGGAAGGTGAGCAGGGCCCTCAGAGATATCAGAGATGGCCTCAAGGGCCACAGGATGATCTCAGACATCATCTTAAAACTCATTGGAGGGTTTTAATGAGGCAATGATATAAGATTTGCGTTTTGGAAAATGACACCTCTAATTACATTGTGAAATATGATGGGAAGGAGAAAGAGGCAAGCGCAAAGACAGGGAGCCTTGTAAGAAGGCTTCTGCGGCATTGTAGCACATATGGCAAGACATAAAGGTGGTTGGGATAAGACTGTTTCTCAACTGAGGACAACTTTATCTTTTGCAATACATTTAGCAAAGTTTGGAGACGTTTTGATTATCACAACTTTGGAGATTGGTGTTACTGATACCTGATGGAGAAAGGCCAGAGATACTGCTAAACGTTCTATAATGCACAGGATACTCCTCTGAAACAAAGAATATCTGGGAAAAGGATGTCAACAGTGTCAAGATCAAGAAACCCAAGAGTAACTACTTGGCAGTGGAATGAAGAAAAGGGAATGAATATGACAGCTATTTAAAGGTAAAACTAGAGACACAGTGAGGAAAAGGAAGATGTAAAAATGTTCTAGTTTTTGGCAAGATGTAAAAAGAGTGCAATAGTAAGTACACACACAAAGTAGTATGGGAACCAAGAAGCAGCAATTAATTCACTCTACTAGGGAAGATACGGGGTGAAAGGGTACACCAGGAAATGGCTCAGCAGAACATTCTCTTAATTATACTCAAGCAATTACTTAAAATGAAATAAATGCAAGAAGTTTACAAATACTTACAATTTTGTCATAAAAGTCTTTGGGAAGTTTGGAAAGAATTTCTACTGCTTCCAAAAGCTCATAAGCATCTATCTGTGGCACCTCATCACCATCATCACCACCTTCCAGAAGAAATACAAAACAAACATCAAAAATGGATGGAATGGTTTTACTTCTCAGTTACTAGTCCTTTCATGCCTCTGATGAAATCTTGATACAGAAAGAATCAGCATTATCAGTGCTATATGTCACTTATATTGTATTCAACAGCAGTCCTATAAAATGAAACTAGTTAACATAGGTTCTTGTGGTAGCACCCATTTTTATGAATTTTTTTAAATAAGTTTTTTAAAGATTCTTTTTTTTAAAGATTCCATTCATTTATTTTTAGAGAGAGGGGAAGGGAGGGAGAAAGAGAGGGAGAGAAACATCAATGTGTGGTTGCCTCTCACATGCCCCTACTGGGGACCTGGCCCACAACCCAGGCTTGTGCCCTGACTGGGAATCAAACTGGCAACCCTTTGGCTCGCAGGCCTGTGCTCAATCCACTGAGCCACACGAGCCAGGGCATTCTTGTGAATTTTTATAGACACTAGTGTTTAAAATTGGCTTACCTCCCTCAGCATCTCCACCAGCAGACTGCTGTTGTTCCAATTTTGCTTCTAGTTCTTGCTGGGAACGCAGAAAGCGAGTTGGTTTAGGAGCACCTGTTGGCAGTTTGACCCATTCTTCTTCTAGTTCTTTCAACTACAAATATTATAAAATATTTTTAAAACATTATCTACATCTCCACCATTAGAGAATATACTTAACATTTATATTTACTAACATAAAACTTTACTTCCTATTTATGTGGCTCCGAATGGGCAAAATAAATTTAAATTTTATACATTTTTTAGCATAAATCAAACTAATTTATATTTATTATATTGAAGATTAGGACTAAGCACACAGAAAAAAAGAAAATCCATTTTTTCCAGACACTCTCATTAGTTCATGAATTCAGTATATTTATATCAGATAAAGTCTCCAAAACCAATTATAATAAAAGAAGGATAAACGCATTTTGTCCAAAGAGATATTAAGTCCTGCTACCAACAGCATTATAAAGGGACCTTTTAAACTCTCTAGATTCAACATTAACATACTGGAATTATTGAATGTGTGGCATGTAACTTGAGAGGACAAAGTAACAGCAGACAGTTGGCAATGCTCAGAAAAACCACCTGATTTCAAAGTTAAGAATCAAAAATAGTTATTGTAAGGACAGAATATCAACAACAGTGACAAGAAGGAAATAATACCTTCACATATTAACCTCATGTAAAGACAACCGGAAACCCGCGCCTCACCTGGAGGGAGTTTATATTCTGTAATGGGGGTCTCAGAGCATCCCGAATCCATCTGTAAATCTCCACAGCAATTAGTTTGGCTTCATCTCGAACTGCCTTGTCTCGAGACTCAAAAAGTTTTGGCAACACTTTGATAATTGGCTTAAGCAAGATGATTTTGGAACCAAATTCACTAGAAGTAAAAAATTGGAAAAAGAACTCTCAACATGCTTGCTTGGGTAAAGTTTTAGCTCTTGTTCACTCAAACTGAACTCCATACCCATAGACTAACAGTTATATAGGTTGAGTTTTAAGGCAGAAAAAAAGGGAACACATATCCACATCTGTGTTTGGATGCTGTTCTTCCAAGAATAGTATTTAATGTCTAGGGTCCAAAATAAAGTTATTATTTTTAAAAAGATTTTTATTTATTTATCTTTAGAGGGGAAGGAAAGGAGAGAGGGAGAGAATATCAATGTATGGTTGTCTCTCGTGGGTCCCCCGCTGGGAACTGACCTGCAACCCAGGCATGTGTCCTGACTGGGAATTGAACCATGATCATCTGGTTCACAGGCCCACGCTCAATCCACTGAGCTACACCAGCCAGGGCACCATTTTATTTTTATTATTATTTTAAAAAATATTTTATTTCTTTTTATTTTTAGAGAGAGGGGAGGGGAAAGAGAGGGAGAGAAACATCAATGTGTGGTTCCCTCTCACATGGCCCCCACTGGGGACCTGGCCCATAATCCAGGCATAAGCCCTGACTGGGAATTGAACTGCGACCCTCTGGTTCACAGCCTGAGCTCAATGCACTGAGCTACACCAGCCAGGGCATAATGTTACCATTTTAAAATTAACTTTCTAATTAAAATTAGGTAACTAGACTAGAAATAATTCAAGTCTATAAAGGGCCAACACTTGTGTAGTATCTTAAATACACACACACACACACACACACACACACACACACACACACAAAGTTAAAAATAAGAACAAATCAGTTTATACATATATAGATGAGTGAAATCTGATTTTAATAAATTTTTTAACAGTTCTTACAATTAAGGTGGTACACTCTACTCAATAGATCTCTAATCCTGGCAGTGCAGTATGTTTCATTCCTGACTTCAAAGGTAACACACTATAACTGCAGGCAACTTAAATCTTTTTGCTTCATTTTCCTACAGGGAAAATAATAGCCTTCTGATTTCTTTTAAAAACATATTCAACCTCATATAATTGTCACTTTTTAAGTTCAATGGCTAAATTTAGCATTCTGATTCTCTGCTAACAATTCTGAATAACATTCTGGAACAAAACAAATTTAATTATGAACAAATACTGAAATTCTCTAGTAAGAGCCATATATATTATTTATCTATTATCTAATATGGACAGATTTATCTCACATGCATAAACACAACAAAATTTTTCACTAATAGCTGTCATATTCCGATAGGGCAAAGAAGGAGATTGTGAAAATACTCTCCCTAGAAAGTGATATTTAACAAGCTACCTGGTTGTGTAAATAGTTTAAATATAGATATCTTAACAAGAAACAAAACTAGATTATCTCCAAGACTGCCTTATGGTGATGATAAACCATTCTTTTTATATCATGGTGCCTAAAGAATCAACCATTTGGAATTCTTAGTTTTCCCTTACATTATTACTATTTCATCTGATTTTTATTTGTTTGTTTGTTCCACTATTCTGGCCTGCTTCTGAAAGATTAAAAAAAATATGGAGCAGGTTCACATGGAAAATACCTTAACAAAACAAAAGCTAATCTTGGCACTAAACACACTGCTATAGAAAAAACAAAAGGGTTCTAGAGGCCCATTTTAGGGGCCATAGAACATATTTGGTCTCCTAAAATTATCACTAACATAGACAGCTTAAGGAAGCTTGGGAACCTAGGATTAAACAGTTGACCTCAAGGTTCTTGAAGGTCTGAAAGAACTATCTAGTTCCACTTGTAGATTCTGAGATGTTTTAGGAGAAATAAAGAACCACTGAGGGATGGGACTAAATAACATCTATAAGAAAGATGTAGGAAGATATACCTAACTTGTTCTTTTTCTACTCTTATTCTCCTAGTCAGCTTAGTATAAAGTAACCAGAGTTTACAGCATTCTAGATTAGAAACTTCTAAGTAAAAGGTAGATTACAGTATAATACATATTTTATTAGAGATCCAATAATAAGGACAGAACAGATCTACTGATAAAAGCACAGTTTTTTTTAAATTTGTCTTTAGAGGGAAGGGAAGGAGAGAAGGTGAGAAATATCAATGTATGGTTGCCTCTCATGCATCCCCCGCTGGGAACTGGCCTGCAACCAGGCATGTGCCCTGACTGGGAATCGAACCGCAATCCTTTGGTTCACAGGCCCGCATTCAATCCACTGAGCTACACCAGCCAGGCCACAGTTTTAATGACCAAGTCAATTCACTAAATTTTTAAGATAAAAACAAGCATACTATTTATTTACTATTCATAAAAACACATGACTACTATTCTATAATAGGCTAGATACAAGGAAACATTTATCACACAAGAATTTAAGTGAAAGTCAAATTTTATAAAAGAACATTATGAACTAACTGAAAGACAATATACAAGTTTAAGACTTGTAAATTGAAGACAGTTTAACAAAATTTTTAAAATTTGAAATTTTGATACTTTCATATAAGACAAGCACCAAAGGAAGTATTTTCTTTCTTCAAGAAGTAGGTCATATAGAAAATCACAAGAGAGTTGAATTCAGATGATCTTCCCTCCCATAGGCCACATATTTAAGGTTCCACGAGAGCTGTTTTCTAAAGTATCTCATATGAATGGTTCTGGAGACAGGATGTCAGAAGGACTGCCAAATCAGAACAAGTTAGTGGCCTAATTCAGATTTTCATAGCAAATTACAACTACTTGTTCTTGAAAGAGATCCCATTCACAAAAAACTTTAAAAAAAAACAAGAAATTCTAGACTTGAAAATAACTTATTACAGAAGAGTACAAGTTATCTTCTATTTGCTGTTGCTATAATTCTGTTCAAAGGCATATAGCATTTGCTTCTATTTTATAAAAAGGCACCTAAACTAAGGTTTTCTTTAACCATCAAACTGTGTCTTTAGCCAAACTTCAAAGTATATATAACTTTATGCATGAGGATAGTTAGAGAGAAACAACTGCTTAAATATCCTGAGGAGTGCTTTTCCACAAAAAGGCCAATTTATAATCTGAGAATAAGACAGAAATACCCCGTTTTATCTTCATTACGAAGAAATTTAGATAAAATAACTATGCAACAGATTTGAGGAGGTTGAAGGTTAGAATTACTGAATACAAAGCCCACACCTGAGGGTGAATTCAGCCTTTCCAGGTCCTTCTCCTGGTTGGTATGGCACGCCAAGTCATGTCTAGCAGTTTTCATTTCTGTTTAAACCAGAAACCCAAACTCAACTGAGATACTATAGTTAATAAAACTAGAGCTAAATGAAAAAAATCTTACCTTAAGGCTTTCCTCAGTGTCTCTGTGCAGGCCACGATAATCTTGGGGTTCTTATTGTCCAGGCCTTTCAGGAGCTCTTCTTGCACAGCCTCTCCTTTCTCAATCTCTATGTACATGAGACAAATCTCGATGCCTAGCTCCTTGGCTCTGGCTTTGGGCTGGTTGAAAACTTTACTTACAACACCTGATACAACTTCTCCTGTGGTTCTGTAATAGAGATTATAATAAACAAGAGCCATACACACAAGAACACACTTTACTAGAAAGAGCTGGAAAAAGGTCAAGGATGGGTGTAGGGGGGACATGTAATTTTTTAAATGCTTAGGAATAATGTAAATGAGTTTCTAATTTGTTAATTTATGTTTGAGAATATTAAAAAACTTATGTAAAAGTTGGGGGAAGGATTGAGGGTGGGAGGTGGGGGTGGGTGGGGTGGGGGAAAAAAAAACTTATGTAAAAGTTTAAGACATGTTCTCACCAAAACAATAACACAGATCCACATTGTTTATAAATGCAGAAAATTCAAACGAGAAAGCAAAAATCCTTTGAAATTCTACTACCCAAAGAAAACTACTTTCAACTTTTTGGTATCCATCCTTCCAAACCTTTCCAGGATTACAAAAATAGGATTATAAATTTCTTGATTTTGTGACATTTTTTAAAAAAGTAATTTTAAACACTCAAGAGAATTTCTTCACAGAAGGAATTGGATATCTATGCACCTTTAGCAACAAAAGGCTGCTCCCAACTTCTTTACTGCTTTGAGTCTCTTTGAAATTAAATAAAACCTGTGTTATGGGAAATTAGAGGCATATGCAGCATTTGTCAAAAAAGTTTCTGGTATCAGAAAAAGATGAAATTAAAAAAAAAAACCAACAATGATTTCACTAATGGCAAGGGAGACTTGGTGATATTAACAAAACTCTCGAATCAAGGGCCCCGCACTGGTGCGTGTGTATGTGGGGCGAGCTCCTTCCAATGACATGAGGACTAGAGTTAGAAAGATCAGGTTTAAGAGGCATGGGAGAGGAGTCACAGGCTGAAATATAAAAATGCCTAATGACCCCAGGAGACAGATATGATTCTAAGATCACCTAGCTGGGATATTAGACAATGGTTTTTGTAAAGCCCAGATATTTTCAGTGAAATCCTGATAATTTCTTTGCTGACAAACTTTCAGTTTCTTTTAAAAGCTACTGAAGATTTCCTTCTTAGTCTAGAATAATTTCCATCTGAAAGGATGAAAAGAAAAAAACATCACTTGTTCATGAAACCTTAAGGTAAAAACTCAAGATCTGACTTCTAATTTGTTCCTTTTTAGAGATCTTGCATACCATTCAGACTTCTGTGAACATATAAAGACTGAAAAAAAAAAAAAGAACAAGAAACAAGGAACTATGAAAGAAAATTAATATATTCTAAGAGTGCTAATAACTAAGAACAGTGATACATTAATATATATAGATTAATCCAGGTAGCACAAGACAAATTTTTAACAGAAGAGTTGAAAGGAAATTACTTACTTTCCTGCTACATGAGCATTTTCAACATAAACAAGTGCAGCTTCTAATCCTTTCAACTGAACCACTGCATTGGAATCAGTCACAAATTTTTTTATCAATCCTAAAAATTTGGACCATTCTGGGCTCTTTTCATCTCTTATTTTCTGGAAGATCTTCAGGGCCTCTTCATATCCATTTAACCTTGCTTTCCACAGCTAAAAGAAAAGTAGTATTTTGAAAGACAAAACAGTAATACTATTATTATTTGTTGTTAATTGGGGAGGGAGAGAGAAATAACTACCCTACACCAGGATATCTGAACAAAAGACCCAATGAGTTGAAACAAAAAAGGAGTTTAAGAAATTCAGATAGTTTTTATAGAAGACTATCTAATAAACTTTTTCTTATAAGTGTTTAAAATGTATGATATTCTGCTAAGGTCATCTAAAATTCTTAACAGGCCATTATAAATGTATCTCAGTTAGATACAAAGTATTCAAGTATTTGTTATTAACTTTGTCAGAATATGGCATTAAAGATGTGACAACTCAAACATGAATCATCTTGCTGAAACTGCCCAATCTCCAAAATACGTTGTTTTCAAGTTGTGCTGTGTAATCACTGAGTAGCTTTATACAATATGCTACACAATATAACTGCTGACAAAAGAAGCCAATGACACTGAAATCTGAGTTCCGGAGAAGTCTCACCTTGTGTTCACATTTCTGATCAACTGGTAGCTTCAGCCACTCACTATCATCTCCCATTGTGCTTCCAGTTCTCCTTAGAGTTATGAGAAATTCCTAATTAAACAAAAATTGATATCTATTAACTCTAGGATCAAGCAGTCTCTTAAGACAAAATTATTTTTCTGAGATTTTTATCATGATGCAGCAAAAAGATTAAAAAAGCCTATTCTTTGTTTATATACACCTTAACAGAGCATTTTAAAAGTAAAAGCAAAAAAAAAATAAGTCAACTGAAAACTCTAGACAGATATTTGTTTTTTAAAAATGATGCTTATACAGTTTCCCAAATGGGAACTTCTTAGATTATATAACAAAGCTAGAATAAAACTGGAGAGCTGAGCTACTTGGCCTTCTAAAAGGGCAAGAGAAGATGACCCTGGCCAGGTAGTTCAGTTGTTTACAGCATCATCCCAATATGCCAAGGCTGTGGGTTAGATCCCCAGGCAGGACAAATATAAGGAGTAACCAATAAATGCATAAGTAAGTAGAACAACAACAAAAAAATCAATGTTTCTTTCTCTAAAATAAATTTTTATAAAAAGGCAAGAGAAGAATTTCAAAGAATGCCATACTTTCATCTGTTAAACAAAAATTCCTTATAGAAAATATTCAATATAAAAAAATCTCAGTGCTACCCAGCTCTCTAATTCTTATAAATATGACTTCAGTCAATATGTTTATGTAAACCAGTAAAAAATAAATAAATCCCTGAATGAACTATTCCTTTTTTAAAAATTATATTTTATTGATTATGTTATTACAGTTATCCCAATTTCCCCCCAAACTATTCCTTTACAAATTTTATAGTTAAACAATTTTTTAGTTAGTGAGGTTTACAGTCAACATTCCTTTAATAATTTGTGCTGTTTAGATAACATTTCTTTCTGATTATGAAAGTACATATGCTAATTGCAGAAAATCTGGAAAGTACAGAAAATATATAAGGAAAGTGTTAAACAAAATTTCACCCCCTTGATGAACACTAAAGTGTGTGTCCACTTGAGGTCTTCCAAGTTCTTCTCAATACATAGACAGTGTATAAATTACATGGAAAAAAAAGAGGGAAATATTTTTCTTATATGGTCACATTCTCCTATATTTGAGAACCTAATGATATTTAAAGGCTGCACAGCACTACATTTCTATCATCAATCCTACTGTTGAAATTTAAATTGTTTCCAATTTTTCAATATTATAAATAACATAGAGGGATTCTGCTTATTTCTCCTGTCTATCCCAGTCCTGGTCAGACATAAATATATCTTCAACAAATATTTGTTTAATGAATGTATATCATGATAATGCCTATCTTGAATCAGGCATTGTGCAAAGTACTTGTTAAGCATGTTGATTCATTTTGTACTAACTACACAAAAGATATTCTCTCCACGTATACAAAGCCTCCGAAAGATTAACTTGCCTAAAACAACAAACCTGACAGGCAGTGAGATCACACTAAGATTCAAAGTCTATGCCTCTTCTTTTATAACCTGTTCCCTTCCATGAAAATGTAGGAAATGTTCCAGGAAAAGTTAAATACTCAAAGAATGAATTGTAAAAGTTTATCAGAAAAAGTGGAACTTTCTTTGAGAACACTCTAAAGTCCCCAAGACCCTGTAAAATAACAGCAGCACATTTTAGAGTAGGAGTCAAACCTTAATAGAGAACAGAAACTCTAATACAGCAATGGAGTAGATAAAATTGTACAATAGTTTGGAACACAGTGTGGCATTACTTAGATTGAAGATGCACATACCCCGCTATCCAGAAACTCCATTCCTATGTACCCTAGATATTGAGGAAGACCTATACAAGGTTATTCACAGCACTGTTGTTCATGAAAGTGAAAAGTTGGAAACACTTCACAAGTATATCAAAAAGAATGAATAAAATAGTGGTATAATCACACACTATTGTGTGTTGCTGTAATATTATACAGCAACAAAAATGAATCAACTATGTAGCGCTTCTCCAACTCTATAGTGAAGGGCCAGTCCTTTTTTGGTAATTTTTCAAACAATTGTATCCTGATGTTTGTCAAATACAATAAAAATTAATTATTAGATCTCTGTATTTTTCAAGTCCCCCAAGTAAATGAGAAATAGTCCAGTCACCATGTAAAACAATTTAGTGGTTCCTTAAAAGTTAAACATAGAATTATATGGCTCTGCAATTCTACTCCTAGCTTTATATCCAAAAGAACTGAAAACAGGTACTCCAGTAAGTACATATACATGCGTGTTTGTAGCAGCACTATTCACCACAGCCAAAAAATAGCCCAAAGGTCCATCAATGGATGGAATAAACAAATTGCAGTATGTACATACAATGGGCTGTTACTCGGCCATAAAAGGGAGTGAAGTTCTAATATGTGCTACAACTAAATGAACTTCACAAACATGATGCCAAGTGAAAGAACCCAAACACAGAAGGTCCCATACTATATGATTCCATTATATGAAAATATCTAGAATTATAACAGATCGATTCATGCAGACACAATGCAGACTAGTGGTTGCCGGGGGCTGAGGAGAGGGGGAATTGAGTAGAAACTGCTTAATGGCTAAGGAATTTTACTGCAGAGTGATGGAAATGTTTCGGAACTAGATGGAGGTAGTAGATGCATAATATTGTGAATATATGAAATGCCATTTGAATTTTTATTTTTAAATGGTTAAGTTTTATGTTATGCGAATTTCACTCAATAAATTATTTTTTTAAGTCCCAAGGTGATCCAATGTGCAGCCTGGGTTGAAAACATCTAACATTACTTTCTTGGCCCAAGTTTGAGTTGCAAAAGCAATCTTTCCCCATCTGTTTTTCAAAGAGGAACACTCAACGAAATCTTTTAAACCATTTTCCAACCAACAGAATGTCAACAATAATATTCAACTGTCAGCATTCTATGAGTTCACTGTAATGCTTTTTCTCCTGTTCGTTACTTTTGGAAACATGAAGAAACAGGTTATTCAGCCTAAGTGCCTCAGAAAATTTAGATGCCATTGTGTTACACTTTCTGAAATGGCTTCTACTATGTTATAGTCTGAGTTTTTAAAAGTTGGTGTTTATGATCTTTCTGTTGGAAAGGAAAGGCCTGTTTCATACCCGAACCTCCCCAGCCATTGAATAATGGATACAGTGTTTGTGCAAGCATGTGACACAGGACTCCTGCTCTGCCTTTGTGTTTGTCTTCTTCCAGGATTGATCCACTAAGGACAAAAGTACTTCTCCACTCATTTTTCCCCATAATTATTTTAATTATAAAATTAATTTTAGAACTTAATTTTTACATATCTAAGAAAACATGAGAGTTATGAAGCATTACAATAAAGTTGATCTACCACCCAACCTGAAAATTAGAAACTACCAATATTACTATTGTACCTGCACATTTCTTTCCTACTCCATCTTTCTCCCCACAGAAGCACTTCCCTGAATTTGTTTAGTTCTACGCTGTAGTCACAGTCACATATTCCTAAACACCAAAATTAACTGCGCCTGTGAGCTTTAGAAAACTGTTATCATATTGTTTGTAATCCTCCATAACTTGCTTTCGTCATTTAAAATTTCATTTGTAAAATTCATCCACGCAATGTACTACAACTCAGAGCGACTCAAAGTGTGGTTCAAAGATGTGTACTGGTTCACAAACCACTTCTAGGTTTATGCCCCAGAGAGTTGAAAACAGGTTCTCAAAGAGATATTTGTACACCCATGTTCAAAGCAGCATTATTCACAGTACCTGAAATATAGAAGCAACCCAAGTATTCATTGACAGACGAATGGATAAGCAAAAAGTAGTATATACATACACTGGAATACTACTGAGCCTAAAAAGTAAAGAAATTCTGGGTTTTGCATGGGGGCTTGGATATAGTGTGGTGAAAGGTGGAGTGAGGGGTCGAGGTCACAGTGAGTGCTGCGAAACTCTCCTCCCCTGACCCCACTGCGTGGGACAGTGTGAATGCAGTGTCCGAGGGACATTGTCTTCTCTGAGGCAGCACTGGAAAACAAGCTGTCAGAATTGAGCAACCTTGTCCCTGTGACTCATACTTCATCCCCTACCACCTGAAGCACTCTGGCCCTATCATCACCGGTGGGAACGGGGGCTGGCTAAAGCCACACCAAACAGGAAGCTTGCCTTTCTTTACCTAGCCACGATGTCACTCAGAACAGCAAAAGGCAGGGGCCAGAGTTTACAAAGGAATTTTGCACCAATTAAGGTGGAGGGTTTTAAGCATGTTTCAAATGAAACCGATGAAGTCGTAAGAGTGTTATGGAACCAGGAAGAAAGATCTGTTTATGGAAATGATGTATTAGAACAATTTAAGCAAGCTCTGTACGAGCTCTGTTTATGGAAGAAAGATCTGTTTATGGAAATGATGTATTAGAACAATTTAAGCAAGCTCTGTCATAAGAAGGCTAGGAAGCAAAGTTACGAACAGATAAAGGTGGATGAAAATTAAAACTGTTCCTCTCTGGGATCTCCAAGTGAACCACCATAGACTCTAGATCCCATTAGAACATTTATGAAATCTAGTAAATGCTGCTTCAGGTGACGCGGCAGTTCAACATAGGAAGGCTTCTTCACTTGTTTAAGTCCAAGAAGCATCCCTACTAGATCACAGATAAAGAATCTGGAGAAAGGCTTTCTAGAATGGTACAGGATGTCTGTATGCTGCTGCAGATTACAATGGCAGATTTGCAACTGAAATAGATGATAGGAAGCAACTCACTCGAATGTTAGCAGATTTTCTTCATTGTCAAAAAAGGAAGCCCTTGCAGAGAAAGAGCATAAATTGGAAGAATATAAGAACAGGCTAGTCAGTTTCCCTAGTATGCAAAGAACTCAGGTCCCGGATCAAAAGCCTGCCAGACTTATCTCAACTGCCCAGTATCACTGGCAGCCAAATGCACCTGCCCTTTGCAGGGGACATCTACAGTGAAGACTGATGATCAGTCTCTTTCCGGGGCCCAGGACTTTGCAGGAGATGGAGACGGGATAGGTGGATAGTCCAGTAGCATTATTTTTGTATACTGCTGAAAGTGACAGT